ACTGGATTGGGCCAGGAATATGGCAGAAACTCCCTGGAGTTAGGAGGCCACATCAATGGGCCCAGGTGTGCAACAGCCAAAGGGAAAAAAAAAAAAATTGGTACAAACGCAGGAGAGTCAGTAGGTTAAAAGAGGCCAGAAGAAATCTCACAGAAGGCTGGGTGTGGTGCCATGCCTTTGATGCCAACACTCAGGGGGCAGAGGATGGCGGATCTGTGTGAGTTCAAGGACAGCCAGGGCTGTAACAGGAAGTCCCTGTCTCTAAAAAGAAAAATCTCACCTGTCTCACATTCTAGGTTTTGGGATTGAATTGGGGGGAGGGGGGGTGAACTATGGCGAAGTGCCAGCTCAGACGGTCAGTCACCACTGGGAGGGCGGGAAGGGGGAGGCTGTGAATTTGCTGGCAGAGACGAGGGACTTCCTGGTACTGGGGGTGGGGGAGGCGGATGCCAGACTGGCCCATCTTACTCTAAGACACTGGGTGCGAGCATGTTTGGTGAGATGTGTTGTATTTATTTTTAATTTTGCTAGTTTAAAAAGTTGTGGGTTTTTTTGGTTTGTTTTTAATTTAAGCCAGAGCCTACTTCTTCTTCCCTCAAAGAGCCGCTTTCAGAGAGCAATGTCCACCCATGGCCCAGCTCATCTTCTGCTGGCTCTTGCTGCCTGTTGCAGTCTGTGCTCCGATCCCAGGAGGGGGGGGGGGTTCCCAGCTTCCTCAACATTCCTTTCCTAGGCATGGCTTCCCTCTGTAACCCTCCAACAGTCCCTGCCCTGCCTTCTTTTTCTCCACAGCAGAGTCTGAATTTAAGGTGGGACAGTATGGCCATTGGCCATCCGTTGGGTCTGGCCCCTCTGTGGGAGGGCAAGATTTCTGTCCATATCCCGGCTACCTCCAACAGTGCCCAGCAAGGAGAGTGTAGAATGGAGACCCAAAGGGACAGCCCGTGTGTCGCCGCTCTCCTGTGGCTCTGGCTGGGGGCCCTGTCCAGTTGTCACAGCCAAGATGTTGGTGCCTGGAGAAGCAGTTCTCCTTACAGAGTGGCCTTGAATTTCTTGTCTTTCTGCCTCTACTTCCCCAGGTCTATGCCATCGTGCTTGTCTTATGCAGTGCTGGGATTGAACCCGAGGTTTCATGCGTGTTAGGCAAACCCTCTACCAACTGAGCTACATGCCCAGCCCTAGGCAACAGCTTCAAGTTATTAATTCACTCTACACGCGCTCCCAGGAGGGCCCTACCAGGAAATACATTTATCTCCTTTTTTTTTTTACACAGGTAAACTGAGGTCCAGAGTCCAAGGGCACCAAACCCAGTGAGCGGTAGAGCCCGGCTCTGAGCCTGAAGTAGGTTCCTATCTTCACTCTCATGTGCTAGGAGCAAACAGAGGCATCTGTCTGTGTCAGGAGGAGACACTGGGGGAGGGGACACCTGCGTCAGACCGAGGGAGGAAGGGCTGGCCGGTCCAGGCACTTGAGAACAGCAGTTCAGCCGCCCAGGACCACACCTGCAGAGGGCCAGCCGCTCAGGGTAGCAGAGCTGGGACCCGGGGAGTGGTCAGAACTGCTGGGCGGGCCAGCCTGAGGCCTTTGCTGAGGTGCCCGCATTCGGTCTGCTCCAGATGGCAATGAGGATTGCTCTGATACTTGGAGTGGTATTTAGAATCCCCGTGGCTGCAACTAGGGAGATGGAGGGAGGAGCTGGGGCGGGGAGGGGCTGTGTCCTGGGCCTGGTGAGGTGGACTGTTCAGCCTCCACTCATTCTAGCATTGTGGGTAATGACGCCTTGACCCTGAGGCTCCGCTCCCTGATAAGATGGGACAGAAAAGGCAGAGGCAGTTTGATGGCGCTCGACTTGTCTTTATGTTGCCAAGGGCCAGTGAAGCCCAAGAGGTTTCCCATAGACGTAGGTCTGAGAGAGGGCGACAGCTGGTGTCTTTCCCCATGCCTTGTCATCTTAATTTTTCCAAGACAGGGTCTCTCACTAACTTACAGCTCACTGATTTACAAGGCCGTCTGGCCAGCCAGCCCCAGGATCCTCCTGCCTTCATGACACTCAGGGCAGCCATGCTGGGACTTTTACAGTGGAGCTGGGGATCTGACCTCAGGCCCTGTGCTTGCCTAGCAAGCAGCTTTCCTCCTGCTCCTGACACCCCAGGCCCGGTCCCTTGGTCTCAAATTGTAATTCTGGCCCCAGGACCCGATACTCACCACCACCTCCAGGTCTGAGTTCAAGTGCCGCTGAGTGTCTGACATCTGAACCAAGATCTCCCCTGGAGGCAAGAAGGGTTGCCTTTAGTGAGGGGAGCCTGTCCCACCTGCCTTCCTCCCACCAAGAGCCAGCCAAGGGGCATTCCTGGATGGATTGGGGGACCAAAGTCCAAGGATTTCACAAATGGCTCTGACTTAGGACTTGACAACTCCTGTCTACAGGGAGGGGTATGGAGGAACTGGGGTACAAGCACGAGAGATGGGGCTCCCAGCACTGGCCCTAGACCTGTGTTGAGGTAAAGGCTTTAAGAAGGTGCATGTACAGAGGGAAGTCCTAGAGAACCCCAGAGCGTGGGCCACATAGGCTCTAGGCCTGAGGAGACACTAAGAACATAGGGAAGTCAGATGGGGTGGCACATGCCTGTCATCCCAGCACTCAGGAAGCAGAGGCAGGAGGATCTCTGAGTTCGAAACCAGCCTGGTCTACAGAGTGAGTTCCAGGACAGCCAAGGCTACAAAGACAAACCCTGTCTTGAAAAACCAGAACAACAAAAACAAACAAAAAGAACACAGGTCAAAGGCCTAGAGCTGGATAGTAAGCAGAGGCTTGTTGGGGGAGTGAGGATGGAAGGGCACCTTACCCAGAATCTGTGATGTGGGGCTTTGCAGGGCCTGCTCCCCAATCTTCTGGATGGCGTTGAAATACACCTCAGCCGCCTCAGACAGAGCTGCAGGAGAGGTGAAAGTTCAGGCCCAGGGCTCAATCTGTGCCACCCTGATTGCGTGAGATGTGGTGAGATGGGGAAAGTTGCCCCCCGGGGTTACGCGTGAAACTTGATACTGCCGGAGAGCAAAGAGGCACCTGTCCTGTGTGCTGCTGGGGAAGACTTCCACGCGTGGAAGGGCCTCGTGGGAGGGCTGCAGGCACCTGTGTGTCCATGAAGGCGCGTGCAGGTGTGCTGTCATAGAGCTAAGGGCAGGACACCGTGAGGGGCAGGCCGCGTGGAAAGGTGTCTCTTGCCCTAGGACTGTGTGGGGGCCAGGGTGGGCTGTGAGAGGCAGGGCTGAGGGTGAGCCCAGCAGGCTGGTAAGGAATGCTCGGCGGTGGGCTGCAGCCCCAGTGAAGGCAGGGGCTGAGTAGCAGGGTAGACACTCACCATGGAAGGCCCGGAGGTAGTTGTTGCCCAGGTATACCAGATTCTCCAGGGCGGGGTTAAACTGCTCCATGATGCTCTGGACCGGAGGGCAAGGGATGCCAGCCATGGTGGTGGAAAGAAGGACAGATGGACACAGGCACGTAGCCCTGGGAGGCTCACCTTGACCTTTGGGGTCACCAGAATCCTGACTACCGCCTACAGAGGCCTCAGAGGCATGCTCTTGGTCCCTCCTGACACCTCAGTTCTCTTGGCCTCACTGGTTGAGTGACGCCCACCTACCTGCTGCCACCCCGCTGGTCACAGTTCAGCTGCCCTGTGCCCAGGCCTCACCAGAACAGAATCCTGAGGCTGCTGACATCTTGCCTCTCTCAAAAAGACCCGTGGGGTCCACCATGTGGCTGGGTCACCACCCTGGGCCATGACCGGCTGGAGGAACACCCTGGGTAGTGGAGGAAACCCCAACTCTTGGAACTCCAATCCCAGATGCACCTTTCCTTTCCCTGGTGACCTTGATCAAGCTGTTTAACCTCTGTTGGCTTGCTTTCTCATCTATCCAAGAGGCTGGCTACTTCCTACCTCACAGGTGAGGGGGTGTGAGGTGTGCATGGGGGAGGGTCCTCCAAGGATCCCCGCTCCCACACCTACGGTTGAGCCCAGCCTGAGCTCTCCCTCTGTCCTGGAGCCAGCCTGGCTTCTACATGCTGGCCATGGCCCATGAGCTCACCTTGTAGATGGCCACGGTGGACCTATAGAACTGGTCCATTTCGGGGGCCATGGAAGGTGGCGCTGGCGCTGAGGAGGCAGGTGGCTTTAGCAGGGCCAGGAGTGCCGGGGTCAGCGCTGTGCTCAGTGGCCAGCACCCTGCTCGACAGGCCGCAGGCAGCAAGAAGTCTGTAGAGTAGGGCCTGCAGATGGAGTCCTGTCTGGGAGGAGGCGGCTGCTTAATTATTCACCAGCCAAGGGGCTTGTCGATGCGATCTGGGGCGTAACCAGACCCTTCGGGGAAGGCGTCCTGTGACGCAGGCAGGCTCGTGTGACCTGCTCTTTAATTATTTACCCTCTGGGCGTGGGCTGGTGGGCACGCGTGGATGAGCACTTTCCCAGGTCACCTCCTGCTCGAGGCCCCGTGCCTGGGAGCCCCCAGTCCTGTCCTCTGCCCTTCTATGGTCCTGCCTACCTACAGGTCTGGAGCACTCCCCCTCCTGCCAGAGCGAGCTCATGCACCCTGGGGCATGTGGAGGACATGTCTGCTCTGACAGGTCTCGTCTCTGCTTGGGATCCGACACCTTGAAGGGGACACTCTGCCCACCTCTCCCCCCTGCCCCCAGTGCTGGGGATGGAACTCATGCTGGGCAAGTCCTTCACCACTAAGTTCTCTCCCCATCCCTAATTCCTCCAAATGCTAGAGCAAGGATGACACGAACACCAGTCACAGACTTGAGACAGAAGTGTGGCCCTCTCCTCTCACTCCCCAGCTCTGGGGCCTCCACAGGTCTCCCTGGGCAGGTGGGCCTGGCGCTAGCTCTCCTATTGGCCTGTTACATCATGGACGGAGGACGGGTTGCCCTGGTCACATCTGAGGGAGCAGGGTTGGGGACAGAGCACATTCCTGCCACGGCACACACTGCACAGGGCAACTTGAGTCTAAACCTTTTATTTCACAGTTGAGGTGGCCCTGACCCCCTCCACTCCCCCTGCAGAGAAGAGTTCGTGCCCAGGCGTGACCTTTGGAAGCTGGGAGGGCTCCTTGTGGAGTGGCTGCAGGGGTGGGGAGGCCAGCAGGTGCGGAGGGACAAAGTCGAGTGGGGCTGGATTTCCCCATTTCTGGATTTCCACCAAAAGGGGTGGAACCCCATTTCTTCAGTCCCCGACTTCAGGAAGTGGGGAGCAGGGGTGGGCTGCAGTGGCCAGGGAGCCCAGGAGACTCCTCCAGACACCCTGGCCACCTTAGTGTTGATCTCACTGATATGTGGGGCAGTTGATGGAGTCAGCCGTCCTTCAGTCGGGAAAGGGGCTGAGGGGGACTCTGGCCTTCAGCCCGGAGTGGCCAAGTGCAACTGGGTCATGAGAGGTGCCTGTGGGGACCCTGTCTGGGCTCTGAGCCCCAGTCCCAAGATGGGCATGGAGCTGCCAGCTCGGCCCTCACTGTGCCAGGTAGCCTGGCCCGCCCCTGCCAGCGGGGCCTGGGGGCTCAGGGCGCCAGCAGCAGCTGGACGAGCTTCTGGAACTCCTCCCGATGCTCGTAGATGTAGACCTCCGTCTCCCAGAGGGCGTTGACCAGCACTGCATCGCTGACCTCGTCCAGCATGATGTCTGTGCCCAGCTGGGGGTTCAGTCTGCCGGGACAAAGGAGAGCGTCACTCAGAATGCACAGCCTGGGTAGGGAGCAGCGCTTGAGCAGGGGGAGGGCCTGGGGAACAGAGCACCACCCTCAAGCTGGGAAACACGCCAGCAAGGGCTGGCAGGTACGTGTCCATGACTGTTCATCAGGTCATGGTGGGGCAGGCAAGGACCTCCGTTGGTGAGATGCAGGTTGGTGGGTCTTGCTGGGTGTAGTCAGGCCACGCCTGAACCTTACCTGAAGTACTGGATGCCGACCATCTCACACCAGGCCCGGGCACGGTCCACAGCCCGCCCGTCTGGGTCTGTGCACTGGCAGGAAGCAGTCTCTGTAAGCCCAGGCCACAGTGCCCTCCCCTACCCTCTGAGATCCTGGGGTCTAGCCATTCCTTAGCGAGGGACTCTGTGCTAAGTCCACCTCTCTGGGCCTCAGTGACTGGCCCAGCTGTGCAGGGTCCATTCAGGACCACGGAGGAGCAGTGAGGGCTGTGACAAAGGCCCTCCCACTCCCTCCCTATCTTGTCCATTTGCATTCTAACCTTCCATATGGTTTTGTTTGTAGAAAGGGTCTAAAGAACACATGAAACCCCCACTGTGGTTCCACTGTGGGGCCTGGTCAGCCTGGAGACTGAGTCTGGACTGCCTCCCAGAGCTGGCTGCCGAGGCTGGACAGGGCAGTGTGTGGAGGCCCTGAGGGAGGAGGTCCTGAGGAAGGGTACCAACTCACACAGTCCACCACCATCTTGCCCAGTTCCTTGGCTCCAAAAACAGTCTTGGCCAGTTCCCAAGGGTTGCTGGGACGGAAGACATCCACACAGGTTACAGGCACTTGAGGAGACCTTCCTGTTCCCAGAGAAACGACTATGGAGAGTTTCTTCACCTTGTTGCCTTGGCCCTGTGGTGAGCAGAACAAGGGTAGTCAGAGAGGCCTTTCCACGGGTAGGGATGGGGTCAGAGAGAGGCCAAGGCTGGGTGCAGGGCTGAGGGGCAGAGACAAGGGCTTGGCGCAGGAGCACACCCGGAACCGAATCCTGGCCAGAACCCACAGATGCTTCCTGGGAGGGCTGGTGTAGGCATCACAGCCACCTCTCAGGACAGAAGAGGGCCTGCTGGGCCACGTGGCAGAGAGCAGGTACTGAGCTGACAAGCACTTTCACTTGCTTGCTCTGCTACCAATTTGCTGGGGGACCTTGATGGTGTTCCCTCTCACTTGGGGACCCCAATTCCTCATCTTTGACTAACTGACTTAGACTGGACATGTCTAAGCGTGGTTGAACCCCTTTAGGCTGCCCAGCCTACCTGCCAGGGATGCATCTTGGTGCCCCAAGGCTGAGCACTAAGCACATGGGACTTCCACGCCTGTGGGAGCCAGCGGTGCAATCTCCCAAGCACTGCAAAGGCAACAGCACCCAGAGTCCCCGGGGCACCCAGACAGGCACTGCCACTAGTGTTCCACCTTCCCTGGCACACGAGCCTTGTCACCCTTTGGTAACAACTTGAGTGAGGGCTCCTGCCTGTCTGTGGGTCACTGCCTCTGCACTGCCCCTGCCCCGAGGCCTCAGGATAGTTGCGAGCTCAGGAGCCCTTCTCCAGACCTCAGTCCTGCCTCTGCAGCCTGCTCTCCCAGAACTGACAGGCACAGGAGAGTGTTCCGTTTATGGAGTCTCCAAGCAGGATGTACACTCTCAAGGGCGTGTCCCGGCTGGGTACCGACAGGTCCACAGCCTGTGCAGTGGGTGCTGGCCACTGAGCATGGTCGTCTCTGTCCCGGAAGTCTCCCAGCAGACCCTGCCCATCAGATAGACCCCGAGGGGGCTCTGACTGCTGCTGAGTGCAGAACAGGTGAGAGTGTGCGCCAGAGCCGTCTGCTCTCATGGCGGCGTGTGGCCGTGTCCAAACCGAGACCCCAGAGGGCTCTCACCTTTCGGATCAAGTCCTGGTTGTACTCGTGGATCTCAGTCATGGCATCCAGGGTGGGGTTGTTGGCCAGCAGCCCGCCATCCAAGAAGCGTCCATTGGGCCGGAAGTAGGTTGGGGCTGCCCCACTGCTCCGGGCTGCCCGCCATACCAGCTGGTCTAGGAGAGGGGAAGGAGGGTGGTTCAATGACATAAGGCCTGTCCCTCCAGATCTCAGGGTGCATAGGGAGGACAGGAAGAAGGGGAACTAGGCAGTCTCTACAATCAGGACCCACAAGGCCTTGCTGCCGGGTCTTGCCATCTGGTGAAAGGCTGTGTGTCACTGTGGCCTGCCAGGGGCCTCTTGAATTCTCTGAGGCCTCACAGGCGCCAGCAACACGTATCATTAGTTCGAGACCAGGCAGAGCAGTGATGTCGTGGGGAGGGGTGCCCAGTGCCCTTCTGGGAGTCTCCACCCCTACCAGCTTCAGCTAGCCTTTCCACCGGCACATCACACACACTCTGACCTGCAGGCTGAGTTGGCGGCTTCAGGTTGATGTTTTGGTTGAAGCGAGGTTCCCGAATGGCCTCTGGAGCATCATAGTTCCGGAACAAGTGGAGCTCCGCTGGCTGCCGGTCAGACAGTGTCCCTGTCAGCATCACCCTGTAGGCAGCAAGGGAGCAGAGCTGGCCCAGCCACCCCTCATCTCCTCATCAGGCTCAGGCCCTGGGCCTGTTCTGAGTGCCCTTCTCCCTGGCTGGCCTCACAGAGACATCTGTAGACCTGGGCAGCTCCGCAAGGGGAACTTGGCCCACCTTGCCCTATCTACTGACTTTTTCTTTTATCCTATAACCGCATTCTGGAATTCAGCCCAGGGGGTTGCCAGGGCAGGAGACAGGCTGCACAAGCCACCCATGGCAGCATCCATTATTAGAAAAAATAGATGACTGGAGACATCACTGTCTGTCAGCAAGGCTGCTGCCATAAAGCCGTGGCGCCTGACTCTGAGGGTCCCCTGTCAGGGAAGAAAAACCAAGCTGGCGCTTACCGGGGGGGCAGGAGCGCCATGATGCAGGGTTTAGAAGGAAAAGTAAGGCTGGGGCAGTGCTGTGCTATTTAAAAACAAAACAGATGTGACTGCTCACCTGGGTGAGTTAACCTGAAAGGCCCCTGGGAGCAGCGAGCAGATGGCAGCTCCAGGACACTGGGGCAGGGTGATGGGTGCTTCCTACTGTGACCTTTGACACCTTCCTTTTATGTCTTCTTTCTACCCTTTCAAGAGCCCATTAAAAATACGTGTCCCCTGCCAAACACAGTGGTGCATACCTGTAATCCCAGCACTCTGTGAGTTCGAGGCCAGCCTGGTCTACAAGTGAGTCCAGGACAGCCAAGGCTACACAGAGAAACCCTGTCTCGAAAAACCATAAATAAATAAATAACCATGCCCCTCCTCCCCCCCTCAGGGCTGGAGTGACAGCTCAGCAGTTAAGAGTATTTTGCTTTCTCTGAGAACCTGAGTTTAATTCCCAGAACCTACCTAATGGCTCACAACCATCTGTAACTCTAGTCCCAGGGGACCGGATGCCCTCTTCTGGCCTCTGCAGGCACCAGCTGTGTATGCAGTGCACAGACATACATGCGGAAAAAGCTCTCATACACATGAAATAACAACAAAAAGAAGGTTCCTCCTAATCCTTCGACACAGGAGCCTGGGCATGGAACACCAGAGTGTGCTAAGATCTTGCACAAACCTGGCTCTGTGAGCTCCAGCGTCCACTCTGGAGAGGAAGGTTATTCCGCAGGAGCTCAGCACATAGCTAGCCATCCTGTGTATCTGTGGTTAGTTAAAGGGTGGCTCTAACTGGAACAGCAGCACGTGTCAGTGAATGCTGAGAATCGATCCTGGGTCCTCTGGAAGAACAGTCAGTGTTCCTCACCACTGAGTCACCCCGCCAGCCCCTGGTTTTAATCTTAAAAGCCTAAGAGGAGCTGAAAAGATGGCTCAGTGGCTAAGAGTGCTTCCTGCTTTTACAAGTTTGGCTCCCAGCATCATGTCAGGTACCTCATAGTCGTCTGTAACTCCAGGGTGGGAGAATCCATGACTTCCTCTGGCCTCTGAGAGCCCCCCCCCCATACATGACACACATTCACATACACAATGACAAAATAAATATTGTTTAAGAGGATAGGACACCTGCCAAGATAGAATAAACAGGAAGGGTCAAAGACCAACAAAGATGAGAGTCTAAAGGGAAACTCCATATCAGGTTGGGACTCCAAAGGGTTACACCCCCGGGATAAAAAGCCAGACACCAACATCCCCATTTGTTTAAAAACTTACTACGATTTAAATTTTTTAGTGTGTACAGGTGCTCTCCTGGGTCTGCCTGGGCACCACATGTGGCAGTGTTTGCAGAGAACAGAAGAGGGGATCCGATCCCTGGGCCTGCAGTTACCAGTGGCTGTGGGCTGCCGTGTGTATTCAGGGACTCAAATCTGAGTCCTCCACAATGCCAGCAGATGCTCTTCACTCCAGAGCCGTCTTTCCAGCCCTGACATGCACCTTACTCGTCCCTGGAGGTTACAGGGAAAAGAGCCTTGGAATGGAGTAAGGAGGGAAAAACAGTCCTGAAAATCTGTAGCCCTACTAGCTGGCCTGCCTGTGAACTTCTAATTTATGTTCTCGTCATCTGGAGAAAGTCCTGAAGTTTTCATGGCAAGTATCTAGTGAGAGTGGTGGAGATGGTGGCAGCCTGCACACCCAAGAGACAGTACAAAGTCTCCGCAGGAAGGGCACCATTCTGAGTGTCGAAGACTCTGATTTCCACGACGACAAGCGGCACATACAAGAAACATATAAATAGGGAGGGGCACACAGGAGGGCCAGCATGAAGGCTGGGAAGGAGCTCAGTGGTAGAGCACGTGTGAGGGTTTAGTGATCCCTAGGACTTTGAACAACACGGCAACAGAGGTCACCCTCCGAGTCAGGACAGGGTAGAGAGACAGCAAAACACTGCACAGACCGCACAGATCACACACTGCTGCGCACAGAACAGTCAGACAACAGGCTTCTTAGCCTCTTTGTTGTTCTGCAATGCAAAGATCATACTAAGCAAGCACTCTACCACTGGACGGTGACTGTAGCCGGAGGACAGGAGGCTCTAGTAATAACTTCCAAGACCAAAGAGTGCTTTGGGGTGGGGGTATATACAGCGACATGTACACATACACGAACATTTAAAAAATTAATAGTTTAAATAACAAAGCAACAGAAAAAATTAGTGGACTGGAAAACAGGTAAGGAATTATTCTGATTGCAACACACAAAGATATCAGATGGTAGAAAGCCGGGCATAGTGGTACACACCCTAATCCTGGCACTTGGGAGGCAGAGGCAGGTGAGGTCAGGGCCAGCCTGGTCTACAGAGTGAGTTCCAGGACAGCTAGGGCTACACAGTGTGAGCCTATCTTGAAAACAAACAACAAAACAAAACAAAAAAAAAAAAGAAAACAGAAAAAAAAAAAAAAAGGCAGAGAATTTGAGATCGGGCTGGCTGCCTAGCTGGCTCAGCAGGTAAAGGTGTCTGCTGCGAGCCCTGATGAGCTGCGGTCAATCCTCAGAACCGACGTCATGGAAGATGAGAAATAAACCCTAAAAGTTGTTCCCTGACCCCTACATATTCTCTCCCTCTCAAAAAAATAAACGGTAATTTTTTTGTGTGTGTGTGTTTTTGTTTTTCAAGCAGAGTTTCTCTGTGCAACAGCCCTAGCCATTCTGAAACTCACTTTTAGACCAGGCTAGACTTGAATTCCCAGAGATCCACCAGCCTCTGCCTCCCAAGTGCTGGAATTAAAGGAACGTGCCACTATGCTCAGCTAAATGTTAAAAAGCAAAAAACAAAACAAAAAAACAAGCAAGATCTGGAGGAAGTAGGTATGGGTTTAATATTGCTTAATTTAATTTACAGAAGAAACACATATATGGGGTGCGGAATGGACTAGCAGAAACAAAAGTCAAAGAGATGACTCAGGATTCCAGAACCAAAGGAAGACGGCAGCATGCATACCGCAGAGCCCACACAGGCACTTCAGAAGAATCGCCGTGTGCACATGATGGACGCTGAGCAGCAGCAGCAAACAGACAGCAGCTGGCAGAGTCTAGGCAGAAGAGAGCGACCACCTAGGAGCACAGCCTGGAATCCTGAGTCTGACAACAAGCTGCCAGGCAGCCAATGGTATCACATGTGAAGCAAACTTACTTCTAAACTTTGCTGGTGGGGGATTTACCATCCCTTCAGGCAGAAGAAATGATCAGGGATGGGAGTCTGAGAGGAAAAAAAGAATGTGATGCAAGGAACTGGTTCACACATGTACACACAGGCACACACATATACATGCACGTATACACAGACTCATGTATACATACATGTGTTTGTGCACATGCATTCACAGACACATGCACACACCTGCTCACGCAGAGTGGTGGGATGGTTAGTCTGCTCACGATGAACTATACGCACTGCTTCCAACTAGGGCTAGAGACACAGCTAGAGGGTGGGTGCATTTGCTGTTCCTGTAGAGGACCTGGCTGGGGTTCCCTGCACTCGTTCCGGTGGCTCACAACTGCCTTCCTCCAGCTCCAGGAGATGTCACTGCTCTGGCCTCATCGCACACCAGCACTCATGTGCACACGCCCACTCATCAGTGCATAAGCACCCAATACTAAAATAACAAAGCACGTCTTCATTATGAAAACCAAACTCCCAAATCTTGCAAGGTGGTTAAACTGTTGGTACCTCAAATGGACCACAGTGGGAATCTTCAAGGCATGAGATGGGCAAACACTAAACTCAGGCCTTCCCAAGCTGCAGTTTTTAAACATGCTTTGTCACTCCAGGTATTTCCAAACTTTTAGAAATACTCGTCCTGCCTGGCAGTGGTGGCACACGCCTGTAATCCCAATACTTGGTGTGTGGAGACAGGTGGATCTCTGAGTCTGCGGGCAGCTTGGTCTACAGAGTAAGTCCAGAACAGCCAGAGCTACACAGAAAACCAACTAACCAACCAACCAATAAATTAAAAAAAAAAAAGAGAGAGATTTTAGTCCTGTGGGTTTTTCTTGAAAAGACAGCTTTAAAACACAGAAAAGTAGCGGGCATGTATTCAGTTGGTAGAATGCCTGTCTAGTGTGCACGAAGATCTAGGTTCAACTCCCCTCACCACCTTAAAATTTTACACTTCCACAGGCCTGTAATCTCAGCAGTGGAGACAGGGCCAGGAGTCCAAAGTTATCCTCAGCTATCTATCAAGCACAAGGCCAGTCTAGGCTATGTGAGATGATGCCCCGAGATAAACAAAGCAACTGAGAAAACCAGTTGTCAACAGGATAAGGGAGCACAAGGACCTGAGGTGCTGGACACTGCTTGCTCACAGTGCAAGCCTCACAGCCAAGCTAGGCCTCTTAAGTTAATTAAACACTCAGTAGAAACACATGGGAAGGAGCCCATAGATTTACAGAACTGGAGGAGACTTAAACTCTAAAGTCAAGTTTTCAAACTATGTGGGAAGAGTGGAATATGACACCAAAAACAGCAAGGAAGGAAGGAAGGGAGAGAGGAAGGGAGGGAGGGGGAGAGAGAGAATGAACCAGACAAAACAGTGTTACCCCAAATCTACCAGCGGCTGAAGTGTGAATGAGGCTGTCAGAGATGCCTAGATAGTACAGGTTAACCATAGGAGATCTGCAGGTCAAACCAACCAACTAAACCAGACTTAGCAGGTTAGTTGGTTAAAATGAACTTAATACTATGCATCAGAAACCTAACTGAGGGGCTGGTGAGAGGGCAGCAGGCAGAGGCACTTGCCCTATAAGCCTGGCATCCTGAGTTCAGTCCCTGGAATCCACACCAAGGCAGGAGGAAAGAGTGGCTCTATAAAGCTGTCCTCTGGCATACAGAAATGTGCCATAACAAGTGCCCACCCCCCCACACATACATTAATAACAAACGACTGCTCCAGGAAAGAAGGGCCTGCCCATAAGCTGTGCTGCTTTGAAGGAGAGTGGCCGCCACAGGCTCCTATATTTAAATGTTTGGTTTCTGGCTGGTGTAGTTGGTGAACTATTTAGGAAGGATTAGGAGGGACGGTCTTGTTGGAGGAGCTCTGCCAGTGGGGGTGGGCTTTGAGGCTTCAAAAGGCCATGCCAGGCCCAGTTTCTCGCTCTTTCTGCCTGTTGATCAAGATGTGAGCTCTCAGCTACTGGCTCTAGCACTGTGCTTGCCTGCTGCCACGCTTCTGCCATGATGGCCATGGACTGCACCCTCTCAAACTGTAAGCAAGCCCAATTAATTAACCGATTGATTGACTGATTGATAAATGCTTTCTTTTTCAAGTTGCCTTGGTCATGGTGTCTCCTCGCAAAACAGAAGAGAAGCAGAGACGGTGGTGAGGTTTTCTTCCATCCTGTGGACTGGCTGCTCTCCTCACGGTGTCCTTCGCTGTGTCATCCCATCTGTTGACCTTGGGGTTGGTTCCTGTGCTGTTGGCGTTCTATTCAGGAAGTTCTTGACCACCCCAGTATCTTGGCAGGTAACTTCTATGTTTTCTGCTAGAAGACTCAGCATTTCAAGTTTTAAGTTAAGGTATTTAGCCCACTTTGAATGGAGTCTTGTACAAGGTGAAAGTTAAGAATCTAATTTCATGTTTCTGTGGGTGGATTCCAGTTTCAGCGCCGTCTGTTGACAGGCTGTCTTTTTCCAATGTCTGTTTTGCCACCCCTGTGAAAAAGTAAACATCTTGCTGTTCTGTTTCTGGGTCCTCTATTCTGTTTCACTGTCTTCCTGTCTATTTTTATACCAACACTAGGCTGTCTTTATTACTATGGCTCTAAAGTGTAAGTTGAGGTATTGTACAAACTCTAGCAGTGTTCTTATTCCATACACCTGCTTTGGCTATTTGTGGTCTTTTGTGATTTCACACAATTTTTCACAATGTTTTTTCCTAAACCTATAAAATATGATTTTGAATTTTGACAGGTATTACATTAAGTTTGTAAGTTAAGTATAGTAGTATGGACATTTCACAAATTAATTCTCCAAATCCAAGAGCATGGACTATCTTTCTACTATCTAGAATTTTCTGTGATTTACTTTTTCAGTATCTTGTTTTCATTGTAGAGATCTTTCACTTTGATTAAATACACTCCTAAATACTTAATTTTTTTGAAGTTATTCCAAATGGAATATTTTTCCTAATTTCCTTCTCTGAGAGTATCCTGTTGGTATACACAAAGGCTACTTTTTAAAAATTGATTTTGCATCCTACAACTTTATTATGTTTATTAGGTCCAAGAGTTCTCTTTCCAGTAGATTCAATAGGGTCTTTCAAATAAAGAATTGTGTCCGGGTGCTGTGGTGCACACCTGTAATCCCAGCACTCAGGGAGGCAGAGGCAGGCAGATCTCTTTGAGTTTGAGGCCAGCCTGGTCTCCAGGGTGAGTTCCAGGACAGCCAAGGCTACACAGAGAAACCCTGACTCAAAAACCAAAAACAAAACAAAAACACAAAAAAACAACCCAAACAAACCAACAAAAACTAACAACCAACTATATGCCATCACCAAGAAACAGCAAAGACTTTACTTAGCCAGCAAAGACACACAAAACTGAGTATTAAAGGATAGAAACTGGAAAGAAAACGGAAATGTGGGCTAGCAGGAGTGGCTGCCCTTCTATCAGACAAAGGAAACTTCACACCAGAATTAAATACAAGCGGTAAGAAAAGGTACCACGTATTAAAAGAAACAATTCACCGTGAGGATACAATTCTAAGTCCTCATGTGCCAAATATTAGAGGCCACAATCGCAGAAAACAAACGCTAAGAGACATAAAAGACCACATAGGTTCTGAAATAATAATAGTGGGGACTTCAATGCTCCACTCTCATACTTAGGTCTTTCCAAGGTAAAAGAAATGAAAATATACTATGTCTTCAGGGCACTGTAGACCTGGTGCAGCAGAGATGCCTGATTCTGGCCGTGGCTGAGAGCAGACCAGGCTGCAAAGCAGAAGCAGGCAAGGCTAGCCATCGGCTGGAGGTGTCCAGCTGACAGCCTGGCCGGCAGATGCATCCCTCTCTCACGGTGCAAACAAGGCTACGGGCTCAAGGCTGGATGAACTGAGTGAGCCAGGAGTCACAAGTGCAAAGGACTTAGCCTGAGAATCAACACTTGACCTCAGTTTACAATCTTCTCTCTCCTCCAGCTCTAGTGGTTCGGAGCACAATGTCCCCTCCTCTGAGTCCCATCCCTCTATCCAGCCCCATCTGGAGGCTGGGACACTCTGATTCATCCAAGACTCTCTTAGGGACTGGCCTCCCAAACATGGGCTTCTTACTCATGTGACTTTCCTTGATCCTCAGCCTGGTGTCCATGAGTACAAGTCTATTAACCTCAGCTGAAGGCAGAGCTGAAGCCATGTGACAGACCCTCTGTCTGAACAGGGAAAAGCACCATCTGAAGTGTGGCAAGTGTGACACTATCCCATGAAAGGCCAAAGCCACCAGCTGGCTTGGAGAAAGGAGGCCCCACTCTTTCCAGGAAGCCCCAGGTCACCAGCTCTGGTGCTCCCAGTCACTCTTCTCCCCATGTTCTCGGGAGAGGGCCCTCATCACACCAGATGAGTGGCTGTCCAGCTCCCTAGATTTGGGCAGAGCAGGAGGAGAGAACATGGCTTACTTGGGTTTTTTGACATCTGTCATCTTGGTGTGCTCCCCAAACTCCCGCTTCAGGAACTCCTCCAGGGGCCCAGATTCATAGGGCCGTGAGCCCCGAAATACCTCGTCCTTCATACGGAAGTACACACCACGCATATAGGCCATGGACTTACCTAGGAAGAAGAGATGAGGAGCTGGAGGGAGCCCAGGGTGTTGTGTGGGCCCCTGGGGGTGACAGACCGCATGCTAAGCACCTGTAAGCTTCAGGAAGTGAGGGCAGGCACGGGCAAGGGGGGTGAGGAAGAGGTGCATCTGCCAAAGAGCTGATGAACACGAACTTCTAGACCCTTCTATGAAACCCACCCATATAGAAAGCCCTCTTCTCAGGGTTCTCTACCTCATTTTGTATTACTAAAACGGGCCTTGAAGACAACAACAAAAAAATGTGCAAGAGCTGGTTCCACCTCCCTGGTCAGAGTAAAAGAAGAGCAGCTCTGTTCTCTGAGCTTGCAGGCCAGACAGGCTCTGGGGGAGGATTTGCCCAGCCATCTTACAAGCTCCTGAGAGCCCAGGGCATATGAGCAAAGGGACCTGCTGAAGCAGGATTTGCCCGTGTGGGGCAGCTTGCCCCTTGCCGCAGCTCTTTCAGTCTGAAGATAGGCTAGGACCTCCGCCTGCTCTGCAGGAAGCAGACCCCATATCCTGTGGGCAGAGCAGCTCCTGAGGTAGCTCTCTCACAGAGGCCAGGAGGGACTTAGGGCCTGAGATAGGGGAGATCTGGGCTGACTCCTGGAAGCCAGCCCGCTCTGGTCTGATGTTCAGTGTGGTCCTCTCTGGTCCTCAGACTCCCTGTGCGCTTACCCCACAGAACTAGGGGGAATCCACACAAGTGAAGCATTTGCCAGCGGACGACTGATGATGACCAACCCTTTGCAGCTCTCAATGGGGTAGAAGACTCTTCCAGAGACCCACAGGAAATGGCCCCAACAGCTCCCTGGGCTAGCTGTGTCCATATTCTCGAAAGCCCCAAGACTGACCCAGTGGCCTCATCCCAGAGCCCAGTAGCCTGGACCACTATCTCACTAGGAGCTTTCTGAAGTTAGGACTGAGCTCCGCATCCTCAGACCAGAGCCCATGAACTCTCATGGTGCCTACCCTCAGGGTTGGGGGAGGTGTCATCCTGTGGTGTTTCCAGGGCTTTGGGTCACCCAGATCCTGATTTTGACAGGTACTTTAGAAAACATGGAATGTGGCCAACAGCCAGGCAAGAGATGCCAGGTGGGGAGGTAGAGACCAGAGATAAGGCCTACTGCGATGCAGCTGAGCCCAGTCATCCAGCAACACGCAGCTCAATCACTCTGGAGACGCCAGGTGACCCGAATGGCAATGCTGGCCCTGTGTGCAGCCTCCCGTTAGCCAAGTGTCTGCACTTCTGCAAAGCTACCTGAAAGGAGGTGCTCAGTGGCCTGGGAGGTGACAGACTGGGAGTCTAGGGAAATACTTTGGCCATGTGTGCCACACACGTGTGCCGCGTGGCTCTGGCACACCTCCCTAGCCACGGCCTTGACTGTCCCTGCAGCCAGATCTCTGGCATCCTGAGACTCACTCATTACCCCAGAACTGCCCATTCCACCCACCAAAGGCGTTTCCACTGGCAGCAGCTGGCAGGGCCAATGGTACTTCCTTGCAGGGGTGTGTGGAAGTGGATGAAGACCCCAGTACTTAACAGCCTCCTGCCCTCCTAAACTAGCTCTGCTCTCTGCCTGTCAGGCCCACCCCACCATGCCCCGAGGCTGTGCTCACTGTGCAGAATGGCCAGGGCCAGGATGCCCCCTGTGCTGGTTCCGGCCACCCAGTCGAAGAGGTCCTTGGTGGCCACACCTGAGGCCTTCTCGATGGCAATGAGCAGCTGGATGATGACCAGGCCTTTCACGCCCCCTCCATCCAGGCAGAGCAGGTGATCATGGCTGCAGTGAGGATAGCACTGGGCCCAAGAGGGTCTCGAGATGGATCTCTCAGCCCCCGCCCCCGCTTGTGCACAGCAGGGGACACATGAACAAAGCAACACACATGCGCAGAGCCTACTTGCTACTGGGTATGGAACCAGGTGAGGGCAAGAAGGGAATGTTTCAGACATGCAAAGGGAAAGGAAGGGTGGAGAGCAGGCTTCCAGGCCGCAGGAGCAGAAGCTGTGGCTGCTGACAGGAAGGATGATTTCTCTGCAAAGGCCTGCAGTGAGTGCATGCCTCTGAGCGGACGGGAACCTTGAAAGTCCTGGAACCTTCACTCTAACCGACCCTGTGTCACCTCACCTCCCGGGGTCTCAGACTGTCATTTGCTGAGAGAGATGACTATTCCTCCCAGGAAGGCCTCCAGCAAGAGCGGAACAAAGAGTGGGCAACAGCAGATGACAACAAAGGGAGGCTGTGGAGGTGGCAAGTCCCTTGTCATGGCCACTGGGTGCACTGGCCAGCGCTCATCAGTGCCTGTGCCTCAAGGGCAAGCCTTGAAGTGTTCAGTGGTAGTGGGGCCTAGGAGTTAAGATCCTGACAGGAATATTAATACCAGGCTGGGAGTGGGTCCTAGCCCCTAGCACCAGAAGAGAATTATCTCCCAGTTCAATAACTCTGGTTCACAGCTCAACCCACATGTGTGTATCTCCTGACTTCCGTTCTTTTTATTTTTATTTTTCCTTTTTCTGCAAGCTGTCACACTATGCCCAAAGCAGAGACAGATCAAGAGGTTTGTCCATCTTTTTCTGTTTTTCAAGATGGTTTCTCTGTGTAGCCTTGACTGTCCTGGACTCACTTTGTAGACCAGGCTGGCCTCAAACTCACAGCGACCCACCTGTCTCTGCTTCCCCGAGTGCTGGGATTACAGGCGTGTGCCACCGTGCCTGGCTTTGCCTATCTTTTCCAAAGCTATAAATACATACATATCAGCATTTCCTCTCATTGAAGGCATGGGTTGGTCCCAGAGCACGAAATCTATGACCGGGGGTTTCTCCTGATAGAATTTGGTGACTGGGACAGGATTCCAATCTCTTATCACTCTGCTCCATCTCCCAGGCCTACTTCCTACCTAGGACACATCATCTGGGAAGCAGTGAATGTGTGCAGGGAGAAAGGCAGGTAGGGAAGCCAGTAGCAGCGGGAAGCAGGTGCAGGGATCTTTCTCCAGAAGGAGTTCAGGGTACCTTCTCTCCATTAACCATAAAGTTAAAAGACAATGGGCCTATGCTACTATATGCCCAAGCTCAACAGCTGCAGGGCCCTGTGCAGGGCTCTGGACAGGATGTCATCTGTCATTAAGGAGCTGCTGCAGGCTCCAAAGACTTGGTCTCTCCTATGACTGCAGGGCTAGGACAGAGCCTCCCAGGAAGCCATGGGGATGAGGAACAAGACCGCTGAGGGCACCAGAAGAGCTCTCCCATGCCAGCCTGGCCCTCTCCACTTACTTTCGCTTCTCATCCCTCATGGAGCTCAGGATGAACGGTGGCTTCCGGGCCCGGGAGATGGGCATCAGGTCCTGAAGCTCTGTGGACAGGGCAGGACACTCTGGGGTCAGCAGCTCTCTCCCCCAGACCTCATGGGTCTCTGGAGTAAACAGAACTGCGTCCCATCCTGTTGTGCACCTCCTCATGGCTGAACCCACAATCACTGCCCTGCTAGCTGCCGCATGTCCCAAGAGAGGCTCTCTGTTCCAAAACAAGGCTGAGCTACATGTCATAGGCCTGCTAGGAGAAGGTGAGCTGGGATTAGGAGGGAGCCCACTGCTTTGGGAAGGGCTCCCTACCTGTCCGGCTAGCACCCAGATATTTACAGGTCCCCTCTTACAACCCGCATGACCTCCCAGGTGTGTCTTGTGCTCTCAGAGCTGAAGCTACTGACAGCCACCACACATGCATTGACCACAGTCCTTCAGCCAAAGGGGCTTTATTACTGAGGACACTACTCAGGGCCAAACTCCACACATGCATGAAGAGAAACATCCCAGCCTACCCTCAGACCACCCCTGTCCTTGTCCCAGGTCTGGAAACTTCCTCCATGTCTGTGGGCTCAGTCTGCCCATCTGCTCCATCTAGTCCAGTCTTCCCCTGTGCACCCCATCCCGCCCCTGCATGACTGGCTTGACAGCCACTGTTCAGGGAGACTAGGCGCAGCATGGCAGGCAGTGCCAGCTGTGCCTCTCTTAGCACATGACACAGAGCAGGCAAGGGACACATGCAGGAAACTGACCAGCAAGGCAGCAAATGGCACCAGGGACAGGGCGTAGGGAAGGGGCCTATGCCCGGGTATGCAGCTTGAGAAGAGGCAGGAGCAGGGGACTAGTGGAGCTACAGTGCAGCGAGGCAGGCTCAGCGGCTGCTTTAGGCCCAGGCATTACCCATTCACCGCCGCACCCCAGGCCCACCATCCAGCCTGGTTTGAGTTAAGTGCCTGCCTGTAAAACGGAGAGAAAGATAGGAGGCTGGGGGATTTTGGCTTCTCTGCCCTCTAGAGCTCTAGGCCTGGCTCCGGTGACTTGGCAGGAGGGGCCAGCTTGGGGGCTGTACCTCCACAGTTAGAGAAGCTTAGCTGGTTAAGACTCGCTCCTGCTTGGGGACTCTCACTCCCAACCACCCTTAGGTCCCTGGGTTGGCCAGGGCACAGAAGGCCCTAAACAGAGTCCCCATCTACTCCAGGACTGTCTCTAAGGGCATCAGTGACACACAGGGGCAAATGTTGGCTGACTGGCCATCTCAAAAGTCTGTATGTAACCGAAGGAGCCAGCAGGGGGCAGATCAAGTCTCATGCTGGACAGATTCAATCAATGTAAGAGCTGAAGCCAGGTGACCAAGCAGCACCCCTCACTATTTACCCTTTTCTCCAAGGGAGCCAGAGGCTGTAATAGTGCCCACCTGAGAGTTATCATGGCAAACGACCACCGGGAGCCCATGTCCAGGGGATTCTCTCAGGGAAGATGGACCACGGGACCTCACCCAGTGACCTGGTAGGTACCTGGGACCTGTGCATCGCTTGGTGCATAGCCTACAATGCCTAACAAAGCTTGGCTTTCCTCCCTTCAACTACTTCAGCCCTGAAGCCCTGCTCCTTCTACTGTGGGAGTGCTGGGATCCGAGGGCCCAGCCACAGTTGGGGAGAGAGGGAAAGTAGTGTCCTACCTAGGTTGGTTAAGCTGATTGCTGGGGGCTGGGCTCTGTCCAGGGGGAAGACGGGGTGAGGTGCTGCAGAGCTCTGGTCCATGGGGACCCCCTGGATGAGTGAAAGGCGGTAGTCGGCCCCCACAGTTCTCAGCAGAGTCAAGAGCGCCTTCCTGGTAATCACTTGTCAGGGTTGGGGAAAGAAAGATGGCAGAGGGTGGACATGGAGTCAACAAGCAAGTGAGACCCCTCCTTGCACACAGTCCTCATCTAGCAGGTGGCCTGGCCGTATGGGGTAACTACCCTGACTGGCATGTAGACTGGTCAGCTATATCAAGGCAGCCTCCTGGCATCAGGGAAGGGGCTGGGAAGGACAGTGAGATAGGGCAAGAGGAAGCTGGAGTCATAGGCCCAGTTACTGTAGGGAGCCTGATTTTCCTTCTACACCAGCTGTGATGAAAAGCTCTTAACTCCATGGTCAGCAGTTCTCAAAACAACAAAGACTGTCCCTTTCAGTCCAGAGGGATGAGGCATCCTATGGCACCAATACCACTGAGCAAAGGAGATCAGGGAAAGGACACCATGACTAGCAGCAGCACCTTCGCCTGCTTCCACCTTGGGCTCCATGTCTCCTCTGTAGGGTTGGCTCTGAACCCAGGGCTGGGCACAGCTGGAGAGGAGAGGAGATGGAAGGAGGGGGGGAGGAAGGAGAAGAAAGGAGAGAGGGGAGGGGGGAATAGAATGGAGGGGAGAAGAGGAGGGGGAGGAGAAGATAGGGAAAGAGGTGAAAGGAGGGGGAGAGAAGGAGAGAGGGGAGAAGAGGGAAGGAGAGGAGGAGGGGGAGAGGGGAAGATAGGGAAAGAGGTGAGAGGAGGGGGAGAGAAGAAGAGAGGAGAGAAGAGGAAAGAGAGGAGAGAGAGAAGGGGAGAGGACAGGGAGGAGTGGTTAGAAGGAGAAGGAGAGGGGAGGAAAGAGACCCTTCTAGATTGTTTTAGTGGGTGGTGATACTGAGTTCTCTGCTGGGAGAAGAGGTCAAACAATCAGGCCACACCCATGCTAGCCCCTCCTCCAGAGGGGATCTGGGCTTCTGAAGGAGAAGCCACATCCTGTGACTCTGAAGCCAAGCACAGTGGACAGGGTCTAAGCATGCACCCAGCATGTGTGAAGCATGGGCACATGCAGGCATGCACAGCACATAAGGGCATACACGGCGCATGCAATGACCCTATGCTTGCTCTGCCTCAGCACAGGTTTGGCCCCACCTCACTGGGACACTGAACACCCTCCACCTGAGGGGAGGACCATGCTCAGCAGGCCGTGGTGGGCCTGCAGGCACTGCGCAGAGCCCATCTTTGGGGAAGAAGGCGCCCAAAGGCGCCCTCCCTCCTAGCTACATGTACTCCCGGCCACTCAGCAGGGAGCAGCTGGGCCAGTCTGATACCTACAGTTGCAACTTTCTTCCTCCCTACAATTCTGGCTCCACATTGCAGAGTACATACGTTTGTTGATCTTGGAGGCTATGAATGCAGGAGTCTCCCCAAACTCATTTGGGGTGTCCACTTCTGCCCCAAATACAATGAGGGCTTTGATCATCTCCAAGTTGTCTTTCTGTTGGGAATGGAAGGTGAGAAAAATAAGCAATAGCCCAAGACCCCACCCACTAACTAGCTCACGGGGCCTCTTAGAAGCATGAGGAGACAATGGGGTTGCCTGACATGCCAAGAACGCTACGTGAAGATTGGTGCCTTCACCAACGACCTTCAGAGCATCCCTCAGCAAGGGCATAAGAACTCAGGAAGAGACTAGAAGTGTCTGGAGAACACTGAGGTGGATGACTTGGACCCACGGGACTGTCAAAGCCTCCCCAAGTCAGGCCTGGAGCTGGCAAAGCCTTCCTCTAGTTTGCAGACATTGTCAATGTGTGGAAAAACTAGCAACCACAGCTTCTTCCTCCCATATGACTGCAACCTGAGACCATGCCCCAGAGGGACCCCTTAGACTAGCTACCCTCCTCTTGTGCTGCATATAACATGTGAGCACGATTTCTGAGTTTTATAGTATTCAGCTTCACCAGAGCCAGCACAGCCCACCCCATCCCAGCTTCTCTGTATGTGTAGCTGCTGTTTCTTCATTCCCGTCCCTGTCAGGTTTCAAGGGTCAGCTGTGCAGGATTTGGCACAGAAAGATTCACCCAGCTTACAGGAAGCAATGTACCTGGACTGCCAACCCAGGAGGCCTGCTGTGGTGGTCTGAACAAGAATGGCCCCCGTAGGCTCATATATTTGAATGCTTAGTCACCAGGAAGCAGAACTCTTTGGTAGGATTAGGAGTAGGAGTAGGTGTGGCCTTGTTGGAAGAAGTGTGTCACTTGGGGTAGGCTTTGAGGTTTCAAAAGCTCACACCAGGCCCAGGTCTCTCTCTGCTTACAGGTCAGGACGTAACACTCAGCTGTTTCTCCAGCACCACACTGGCCTATTGCCATGCTCTGATAGGGTGATAATGGTCTAAGTCTCTGAAACCATACGCAAGTTCCTAATTAAATGCTTTCTTTAATAAGAGTTACCTTGGTCATGGTGTCTCTTTACAGCAATAGAACAGTGACTAAGGCACCTAGGGACACGGAAAGGCCAAATACAACACTTGGCCTCCTAGCATCAGGAGTAGTACAAGATGTGTGAGAGCTGAGAATGCCATCTTGCCTGTCTACTCCAGGCAGCCTTGTATAGATCCTCCCCAGTGGCACCCATCAAGGGAGTAGCTTCCCACCCCAGAATGCCATGCAGCTAACCTTGGGTACCCAAGCACAAACCAAAGTACTGGCTGCCTGGAAACCTAAGCTCTGTTCTAAGAGCCTGGTTTTCCTGCCAAGAGAATGAAGTGCTGCATTTAGAATATTCTTTTCTGAGTAGTAGTTCCATTTGAACTTACATGCACAAGCAAATATGTGTGTTCTCATCATCCCTGTCTTTCTTTTTTGGGTTTCCTTTTACAAATGCACTTAAGGGATTGATATAACAGTGCCTTCCAAATACATATGTATATTTAAAAATAAAACAACTGAGCCGGGTGTGGTGGCATATGCCTGTAATCCTAGCACTCAGGGAGGCAGAGACAGGTGGATCTCTGTGAGTTAGAGGTCAGCCTGGTCTACAAAGTGATTCCAGGACATCCAAAGCTACAGAGAGAAACCCTGTCTGGAAAAAAAAAAATAAACAAACAAACCAGCTGAATGAGGCAGTGCATACCTAATCCTGGCACTTGTGAGGATTATGTAGGGGATTGCCACTATTTCAAGTCCAGTCTGGGTTACAAAGCATCACCTTGTTTTGGGAAAAAAAAAAAAAAAAAAAAAAAAAAAAAAAAAAAAAAAAGTAAACTCTCTTGAAGAAGTGATTAAAAACACTGTCAGAATAGCTGGTAACTTAACAAAAACTGGGGAAATGGCACATATGTGACAGCATAGGAAACAAGAACACCTCAAGAGTTCTCAGAGACCTGGGGACCCTGTGAGTTTAGGAGAACATTCCAGACAGTCTGTGAGATCACAGCTGTTTTCACAAGAATGCCAAGAAGTCATGTCCTTATGAACCATATTGACTGACATAAGATGGTTCATAAACAATGGTGGATGAACTGCCAGTGCCTCAGATCTCACCACAACACTAGAATCAAGTTCACAGCCTAAAGACTTTTCTTCTTCATAGAATCACCTTCCCAAAATAAAAGCAAAGAACAGAAAACAGCCAGCTTCACTGAAGAATGCCCTGGATACATCAATAATAATTAGACATCTGTGTGAGTTACCAGCTCAACTAGCCTCTTTGGTTACTGGAAGGTAGGCAGGACTGCCAAATAAACTAAGAGTAATCAGCCTTAGTCAACAAGGAGACAAATTCTCAAAATGAATGCAATTCTGGGCATGGTGGTGCAGGCCTCCAGCACTCAGGAGGCAAAGGCAGGAGGACCTCTGTGAATTTGAGACCAGCCTGGTCTACATAGTTTAAGTTTCAGGTCAGTCAGGGATACATAGAAAGCTCTTGTCTCAAAACAAAACAAAACAAAACAAAACAAACAAACCAAAACAAAACGAATATAATAAGCCTGTTGCTTTAAGAAAGCAAAAAACAGTATATTTTTGTCCATGATAAAATTCAAACTTTCAAGGAAAAAAAAAATCACAATTTCCCCTTATTTGTGTATGCTATGATGGGGTTACTTCGGGTATACATTCATTGTACCAGTATATTCCAACATCAACTCAAAGGAAGTCATTAGTGCATAAGGGAATCCTTGCAAAGTACAAGATGAGTCATAGGCAGTGGTGTGACTAAGTTCAGGGAGATGGCTTCAGAGTGGTCCGTGCACTCAGCATGTCAGAAGCTGCCATATGACGAGTTCTGGCATACTCAAGCGCCTTGGCAAGAATCTGAAGAGGTGTGCACTTTCCAGCCATACACAGGGGCCAGGCTCTCTCTAGAGCTCTCTAAGTGTTTTAACATGCCCCAGGAGACAGGAGGATTCACATATTTTCTGCATAAAAAGACCCACAAAAGTTTCACAACATGTAAAGTAATGCCACCTCTTTTCATTCATTTTACTTTGGTTTGGAAAATAAAGCTTTTCATACAAGGTTTGCTGACAGCTGTTAGCATAGAGGCAGCCTGATTCTAGGTTGCCTAGCAACCTATGATGTCATCACATGCTGCCACCAGGTGTGTGGCAGAAAAATTTCAGCTGTGCACCAGATATAAAAGGACCAACCTGACAGACACCTCCTCTCTCTCTGCTTTGGTTTCCTTCCTGGTGCCAACACCATGTGCCTCTTTCTCTTCTCCTATACTCTTCCACTGTCCCTCTCTCTCTCTCTCTCTCTCTCTCACCCTAGCTCCGCACAATAAATCTCTTCTTCCCAGAGATCTGTTGCATATGGCATTTTTATTTATATCATAACAATAGCTAGACAGTAGGGTATAACACCAGGGAGGCAGATCACAGGACCTTTGTGAGTTCAAGACCAGCCTGGACTATAGAGTAAGTTCCAGGATAACCACGGCTACACAGAGAAACCCTTGTCTTGAAAAATCAAAAACAACACACAGAGAGAGACAGAGAGAGAAACACACACATACACACACATACATACATTCAGAGACAGAAAAAAAATGTTACTGATTCATGTGCTTGGTTGCTGGTTTTTTCTTTTGAGATAGTCTTGCCATGAAGCCCAGGCTGGCCTTGAGTGGAGATCCTCCAGATGGTGCCTGAGTCTTGAATTGCAAGTGTGCATTACCAGGCCTTTGTTTGTTTGTTTTGACAGGGTCTCATGAGGCCCAGGCTGGTCTGAACACTATAGCTGAAGGTGGTCTTGAACTCCTTAGCCTTTGACTCCTGGAGTATGCTACTATGCCTAGATGTTTAGCTTGGCTATTTTTCAAAAGTAAAAATGGACCAAATATATTAAAACAGAACAGAACAGAACAAAAAAAAAAAAAAAACAAAAAACAGAGAATCGCTAAACTAGTCTTTTCTAAAGGTGCAGTCTGCGCGAGCAACCTCCGTAGTCTTATCAGTTTCAGCCTCTTAGGCACTGTGGCCCCTACAGTCACAGTACAAAAGAGGCTGTCCTTGAAAGCGGCTGACAGACGGCCTGGCCTCCCTCAGCGTCTCAGGGGCCCATCCTGCACTCTCATCTGAAACTAGGACAGCATAGGGAGCTGTCCTCTCCATGGGCTAAACGAGCTCAGACTACTGTCCCATCACACTACAGACGCTTTAAAGGCTGATGTCTGTCTCCTAACAAACCATCGGCTGCCCCCACGTACTTTGGGCTAAGGGAGGAGGCCTGTCTGATGAGGTAGCCATAGAGGAAAGGAGAGTGTGCTGAGGCATGGTGGCTCTATTGTTCCTCCCCCACCCTACCACAGGACAGCTGGGGAGGAGGCCCCGTGGCCACAGGCTCACCGACATGGCCAGGTGCAGCGGTGTGTTCCCATGTTCTCCGCGGGCACCTGCGTTGGCCCCGTAGGTCAGCAGCACCATGACACAGTCAAAGCGGTTGCGCATCACTGCCACGTGCAGGGGAGTGTTTCCTGCGGCGCTTGTGCTGTCCACATCACAGCCCCGCTTCAGCAGCATTCGGGCCATCTGGGGACACAGACCAGATGGTCACGCAGGGGCTCCCTCCCTGAGCAGTCTTCCAGCATTAGCAAAGAGAAGTCCAGAGGCAGGCCCCAGTTCTGGGCATGACCCTTACACCTTAATCCCTACATATGAGCTCCCCAGGAACTATGCAAGAATTAGGTGAAGACTGATTCTAGAGGCTTCTGGCCCTTTCCTAGAGCTACAAAGGCTTCTCTGGGCTCTATCCCACAAGCGGTGACTCCCTGAGGTTGTCCACGCGATGTGTTCCAGGGTCCTCTGCATGGTATCCTGGCTCACTCTGAACTGGGAGACAGTGCAGAGGACAGTGCTGAGCCCAAAGCCCCACCAGCCTTCCTGGACCTAAGCCTGGATCAGTCACGGCAGCCCCAACACCTCAGTCTCATCGTGAGATACACTGTCATACAGATGGAACACATCTGAACAGGACGTTGCTCCACAAAGGTAGAGGCCTTGCCCTCTTGCAGGCTGGGGTGTTGGTGGCACCTGTGTCGCCAAGCTGGGCGACCTTGGCATCCTCTCAGGAGGACAGAGCCACTGAAGAACTTCATGAGAGACCCCGGCCTAGGCGGCCACCAGGCTAGGGGCTGTGGGGCTGCTGTGCCCAGTGGTCATCATGTCACCATTGTCACCTTCTATGTGTGAGGCACATATTCCCTTGTACTGCCTTGCTAACTTCCCAATACTTCCAAAGCCAGTGAGGGGCAGGACAGTGGTGGGACTTCCCCTGTTTCTGGCTGCTCCACCCATGCACTGTCGTGAGACTTGTCTCTAGGTGCCGCTGTCACCCTCCCCGAGCCTCCTTTGGACCCGCCTTGTCCCTTGACCCTGCCTACCTCGGCGTTCTTGGCCCAGTGGAGCGGGCTGGCTCCGTATCGAGGGTCCTTGCTGTGGATCTGGTTGCTGTCCATGCTGATGATCATTTCAGCACACCTGGAGAGAGCAAGCAGCAGGACAGTGAAGGCACACTGTGCTAGGGGCTCTTCCTGCTGCTCACAGAGCTTGCAATACAGCCAATCAGCTGCCCTGACAATAGTTTCTTAGATAGCACACCAAAGCAAAATAGAAAACTAAGGGGGCTGGAGAGATGGCTCAGTGGTTAAGAGCACTGTCTGTTCTTCCAGAGCACCCAGGTTCAATTCCCAGTACCCACATGGCACCTCACAACTGTCTATACTGCCAATCACAAGGGATCTGACACCTTTACACTAATGCACATAAAATAAAATAAGAAGTAAAAATGAAAACTAAGGTCAGAAGTGGCTGGAAATATATTTGTAATCCCAGCATTCAGGATGCTGAGGCAAGAAGATCCAGGTCCAGTCCAGCCTGGACTACATAGCCTAAGCTTCTCTCAAAAAGGGTGAGGACAGGGTGAGGAGGGAGATGGGAGCACGGGGGAAGGAGGAGGTGGAGGGGGGGGTCAGGGGTATGAGATGGTTCAGCAGGTGAACAGTGCTTGCTGCTAAGCCTGAGGACATGAGTTCAATCCCTGGGATACACATGAACAAGTAAATAAATGCAAAACAACAGTAGCAATATTTTTTTAATTATTTTAAAAAATTTATTATGTATACAGTGTTCTGCCTGCATGTATACCTGCACGCCAGAAAAGGGCACCAGATCTTATTATAGGTGGTTGTGAGCCACCATGTGGTTGCTGGGAATTGAACTCAGGACCTCTGGAAGAGCAGCCGGTGCTCTTAACCTCTGAGCAGCTCTCCAGCCCCAATAAAAGTAATTTTTAAAAAGGAAGTCATGGGGCTGGAGAGCTGGCTCACAGTTCAAGAACACTGGCTGCTCTCTTCCAGAGGACCCAGGTTCCGTTCCCAGCACCCACATGGTGGTTCACAACTGTAATCTCTGTTGCAAGGCACCTGATGCCTCTTTGGCTTCTGTGGGCACTGCATGCACAGTGGTGCACAGACGGGAAGGCAAAGCGCTCACAGGCATAGAATAAAATTAAAATTAAATCTAAAAAATATTAAGCAAATAGTCCATCAGGTATGGGCATGGAAAACTGTAGGCAGGTTACAGCAAGGTGAGGAATCTCTGTCATGGCTTGGATAGTCACAGGCTATCTGGTCAGGCAGCAGTGGGCATGAATCGCAGCTAAGGCAACTAAAGGATGCCCAAAACAGCACCAGTGTGGTGATACATGCCTATAATCACAGCACTTGGGAGGCAGAGGCAAGAGAAGCAGAAGTCCAAGCCCAGTCTTGTTTTTTTTTTGTTTGTTTAAGAGAGTCGGGTGGTGACAAACACCTTTAATCCCAGCACTTGGGAGGCAGAGGCAGGCAGAAATCTGAGTTCAAGGCCAGCCTGGTCTACAGAACTAGTTCTAAGACAGCCAAGGCTACACAGAGAAACCCTGTCTCAGAAAACCAAAAAAGAGAAAAAGAAAAAAGATAGCTCAAAGAGAACTTTGCTTTGAATCTCAGCGTTCTAACTATACAATCAAGACAGTATTATGAAGCCTCCAGCACAAGTATGGTTTTTTCCTGCCCTGGGAACTTCACTTTACAGACCCAAATAGACATTTCTCAAAGGAAGACACAAAAATGGCCAAGTGGTCTGGCAGGTGTTCAACTCCAGTAACGCAGATCAAAACCACTCTGAGACACAGTCTCTTACCCGTGAGGACAGCTATTATCAAAACATACTAGGACATAGCGCTTCGGAGGCTGTGTCGGAGAGAGAACACTAGTGTACCATGAGCAGAGAGCTGAGTAGAGGACACCTAACATGGAAACTCACAGGGATTACATCATTCACTACTGCAAAATGAATAGGTCAATAAAAAAATCAAAAGGAAAAAAATCTGCAACTAAATGAAATTTAAAAAACCACAACACAATAGAACCTTTGGGACATAGCAAAGGCAGTCTAGAGAGGAGAATTTATAGTTCTAAGTACCTACATTAAAAAGTCAGAAAGAGCACTGATAAATGACACAATGATACTGCTCAAGAATTTGAAAAAAAATGGGCTGGAGAGATGGCTCAGGGATTAAGAGCACCAGCTGCCCTTCCACAGGTCCCGAGTTCAAATCCCAGCACCACATGGTGGCTCACAACCATCTATAGTGAGATCTGTGCCCTCTTCTTGCCTGCTAGCACACGAGCAGCCAGAACACTAAATAAATAATAAATTTATACAGAATAATAAATTTTAAAAAGAATTTGAAAAGACAGGAACAAACTAAACCTAAATCCAGTGGACGGCAAGAAATAAGAAAAATTAGAGCAAAATTAATACAGGCAGCGTGTGTCTGTCACCTGGCGCCCACTCAGGTCACTGCACACACAGGAGCCAGGATGAAGACCAACTGACCCCATTCATTCACTCTCTTCAGACGTTGTTCTGCTGGGCTGCATTTTGCAGTATTTTACCTCCTTGGTTCTCCTCCAACACAAATGGAGAACTTCCTGGGATCTGAGAACTTCCAGGGCTTATGGGAATGCTAGAGAGTGGTCCCAACTCCCTAAGGGAAAAACCTGGTACCTGCATCCTGCAGTGTTACCAACTGAAAAAAAGCTAGACACACAGGGCCTTGAACCACTAGAGCTAGCGTCCTTGGGCCTTCAGCAAGCGCAGGAGCTGAGTTCTGAAGACCCGCCAAGCCTCAGGTCTGCAGCAGACTTGAGAATGGGCACATCATCACAGGGGTGCAAAGGCTCATGGTCAGAAACCTAGGTGCACTAGTGAAAACCTCTAGAGGGTCTGTTCTTTGCACAGTGGTGTGTGGACGTGGGCATGCAGCTACCGCAGTACAGCATCAAGTGCTTTCTGGAGGCCGGCACCCTCGGTTGGTTACCCGGGGAGGTCCCTTCCCCGGGGCCTGCAGGCGGTGGGGGGCACATGGTGGGAGGCTTACCCCTTCTGGGAGTACTTCATGGCTGTGTGGATGGGGAAGCCACCGGGCCCCATGATGTTGCAGCGGGCATTGCAGAGCAGCAGGACACGCACCATCTCCTGCTTCCCCATCTGGCAGGCCAGGTGCAGTGGCGTTAGCCCTTGGTGGTTGGCCTGGTTCAGGCCGGCTGAGGCATTCTTTCCTAGGAGCTGACAGGACAACATAGGTAAGCCACCTGCCACTCCCTCCTCTAGCCCCCAGGGGCCATCTTCCTCTGGACACCAAAAGGGAATGGACACTTAGCTCCTCTAGGATAAAGAGGAGCAAGAGGGAATGAGTGATGCTCTGGAGATGAGAAGAAAGCTTGACCAGTGAGGTCAGTGTATGGGAATGTGGATCTGGCCTGACTGTGGCTCATGTGAATCAAAGAATCTTAACTAGACGTGGCAGCACATGCCTGTAATCCCAGTACTGGGGAGACTGAGGCAGAAAGTCAAGTTCAAAGCTAGTCTAAACTACACAGTGAGTTCCAGGCCAGCCTGAGCTACATGAGACCTTGTATAAAAAGAATAGAAAGGGCCTTAAGTTTTCTAGATAGAGTATTGCTTCCATCCAACCAGATGTCCTTCTGTCCTGGTTAGTCTTGTCTATGGGACATAGCCTAGAGTCTTGTAAGAGGAAAAGCCTCAGCTGAGAAAGTGTCTGGGTCATTATTAGCCTGTGGGCATACTGTAGGGGCTGTCTTGATTATTAACTGATGTAAGAGGACCCAGCCCACTGTGGGTGATACCATCCCTAGGCAGGTGATCTTACACCAAGCTAAGCCAAACATGAGGAGCAAATGAGCAAGCCTGAGCTCCACACCTGACTGGAGTTTCCATGAGTTCCGCTCACTGAGTTGGAGGACTTCCATAGCCATGATATGTCTCCCTCTAAATGTCACAGGGTGGAGCTTTGGGATGGGGGTTGATGAAGGAACTGAGGCCTCAGGGATTAAGAATGGATGAGCAGCGAGAAGTCCCAGAATGGCCCATGAACCTAAGGCCCCAAAGCAAGTTTCAGGCACAAGGAAGTGGTACCTGGTTGCTCAGTCCACTGCCCACCACCCAGCACTCACCTGCAGCACCTGGGGATTGTCCCCTTGCACGGCGTAATGGAAGGCGGTCTCTCCTTTGCTGTCGGTGACATCCATCTGGGCGTGGCAGTACTGTACCAACTCCACCAGGATCTCACCGTCACCCTTTCGGCAGGCCAGATGTAGAGGAGTGCAGCCCTCCTCATTCTCTATGCTGTTGGCACAGCTGTGGGTTGGGGGGAAAAGCAGGGATAAGTAAGTGTTAAGGCAGAGGACCAAAGGCAGGGATGCCAAGAAGCCCAAGTGCAGAGGCAAGATGCAGGCAAGATTAGGAGGTCCTGGGGTGATTCCAGCCAGGAGGCAGTGCGCCCTGCTCACCTGTGGGAGCTGCACCCTCGCTGCTGTGAGCTAGGACACCACTCAGTGTCCAAGGCCATGCCTGGGAGCAGCAGAGCTGAGAGAGCTTTGCTTTTGTTTATTTGAAATAAGTTCCTCTGGAGAGGAGGCTGGCTTTGAACTCACAGGCCTGCCTGCCTCTGCCTCCCGAGTGCTGGGACTTAAAGTATGCGCCACTAAGCCCAGCTTGGTGAGTTTTAGCTAGAGCCAAGGCATTCAACAGAGAAGTGTGGGCCGGCCAGCCAGTGACTTGCAAGTGCAGCCATGGTGACCTCTTCAGGGAATCTGCTGATAACAGCACTGAGTAGCCGGATATGAGTGAGGCCATACAAGCCATCAGTAAAACAGCGGGGCTTGGGAAGGACTACTCTGAGCCCCTAACCAGCCTGGTCCACCAAAGAGCTGTGCCCTGGTCTCAGCCTCTCTCTGTGAGATGAGAGAGCAGTTGGGAGAATTCAATGTCTGCATTTCCTTTGGATTTTAATTGTCCTCAGGTTAGTACTCATTGTTAGCCAGGACAATGCTGTTCCTACCTCACCCAAGCCATTGAAAGAACAAAGGCTGCATGGGGCGACTCCAGCACACAGCACTCGTGCTCCACAGGGCTGATTGCCACCCAGCACTGTTCTCCAGCGGCCCCAGCCCCCCCCCCCCCCACACACACACCTCACAGCCCCAAGCGCCCACCTGATGATGCGGCTGTGGTGGAAGCACTCCCGAATGCCAAGCTCCACCGCCAGGTGGGCCACTGTCCAGCTCGGGTGGTTGCGGATGAGGTCGGTCAGGTGCTGAAGAGCCTCCACGTGCAGGATCTGCACGGAGCTCTCGTAGAAGGGGGGCAGCTGGGAGGAGTACTGCTGGAAATTCACCAGGGCGTCTGCCTCCGACTCCAGCTGGAAGAGTCTGCCGCCAGGAAGAGAGAGCGGCCACCAAGGTGAGGCATGGAGGCCAGAGGCTGGGCCAGCTGACGGGCACTGCCCAGCATAATGAGACTGTGCACACATCCCCCCCTCCCCCCCGGCCCCGCAGAGAAAACAGGCCAACCTCTGCTCCTGGCTCAGGCTGCTCTCCCTCCTCCAACACCACCCTCAAAAATGGAGCTTATTTGCACTTTTGACATCTTTCATCTGGTGATTTTATATCTTGTTTAGTGAAGGCCATATCATAGTCTTTTCTAATTTGACTGCCACACCCAGGAGCCTCAGTCTCAAACTCTGGCTCTTTGTATATGGGCAGAATTAAATAAGTGATATTTAACCTGGACAGCCAGCTACAGAATACAGGTGAATTACAGTTCAATCATCTCTGTGAGGAATACTATACAGCCATTAAAATAGTTTAAGGTAATAGAGAGGGGCTGGCAAAATGACCCAGTGGCTAAAGGCGTCTGCTGCCGCCTGGGTTCAATCCCAAGGACCCACATGGAAGAAAAACGCTGATTCCCAAAAGCTGCTCTCTGATCCCCACTCTACACTATGACATGGGCACATACACAATAAACAAAAACCTGGTAAAATTTTTCTAAAAAAGTCTAGGAAGATGTTCATTTTGTAACAAGTGAAAAAGCAGGATACAAATAATACGTAAAATAAAGAGATCTCAACTATGCAAAAAGGACAGTGAAGATGTGTACAGAGGCAGAATGAATCCAAAACTTCTACCCGTTTCTTTTATTTCTAAGCTTCTCTAGTGAGCATATGCATTATTTTTCTAACTAGAAAACAAACTTCTGTTTACTTGAAAAGCATTGGCTTTGAGTCCAGTTCTGCTCTGAAGTTGCTGTGTGACTCTGGTAAGCCCCTCCCTCTCTTTGAGCCCGGTCTGAGACCTGGACTAACTGCACTAATTTACCGTGAGGACGGTAAGAAAGCACTGTGACACAGTCGCAAAGCCGGGACAACTACACGCTGTGACCTGGAGTTCTGACCATGGATCTCAATAATCGGCCTTTGTCTCACACCTACACAAGCGCAGAAGCCAGCTGGCTCTAGCACAGGCAGTGCCAGGGGAGGCGTGGCTCTCAACAGAGCGACTAAAGGAACAAACCAGCATGGACACCCCATGTTGCAGAATATTTGATCCCATTGTGAACCCCAAAATTGTGAACTGTAACATCTTGCTTCCTTGGTGTGGATGAGCCCTATCACACACCTTTACTCCAAGAACTTTCCGTTTATTATAAACCAGTGGTTATGGTGTGGTTCACCCAGCTCTAGCACACACCCTTAATCCAAGAGCTTTCTGTACACAGGATTTAATAAAGTTAACCCTAGGTCAAGAGCTAACAGGGATTAAAGAGTAGGAGGGACTTTAAGTTGAGGATTATTTAAGACAGCGTGGAGAAGAAGCTTTTAGCTCAAGCTCTGGCTTTAGCTTAGGCTTCAGCTCCTCAGCTCCCTGGCTTTTGGGGCTTTGAGTTAGCAAGCCTTTGGCCTTGGTTTTTTGTTTTTATTTTTGGCCTTTTGTTCCTGGGCTATCAGCTGGGCTAGTGAGCCTTTTGGTTTTTTTCCATCCAGACCTGAGCTGAGAAGGAGGGTTAGCTGGTAACTTTCTCTGCCTCTCTGAACTAGGTTTCACCCCTACATCTGGCTCCTGAGTCTTCATTGGTAAAATGGGATGGTTGGGACTGTCCCTCTTTTAAACAAAACCCCACTCTGCTGTGAAGACACCACCCACACCACAGAGCACAGGAGAAGGAAAGCTGGGCCTCGGCCCCGGTGGGTTTGGCCTTTTCTCCTCCTGTCCATCAGATGCTGCTGGTACTGCACTGCACTCTGGCGCATGACAGCCTGAGTGAACCAGTGTTCACGCTTGGCTGCTCCTTTGCTTGTTCTGTTTAGAGCAGTGTCTGTGGTGGAGGAGGGTATGAAGTTTGGTGTCATCCTAAGCTATGTGACACGCTTGAGGCCATCCTGGGGTACATGGGACACCTTTTAAAAAAAAATTGCTGGAGTGAAGGGCTCTATAGCCAGGAAAAACAGACTGGACGGTGTTAAAGAGAAAACTAATGAATGAAAAGGAAAGGTCTCAGAAAACAGGCAGAATAAAGTGCTCGCACACAAACACACACATACATACAAAGAATACAGGAAAGGGCTGGAAAGGTGGCTCACAGGTTAAGACCACTGGCTGCTCTTACAAAGGTCCAGAGTTCAATTCCCAGCAACCAGATGGTGGCTCACCAACCATCTATAATGAGATCTGGTGCCCTCTTCTGGCCTGCAGCTGTACATGCAGGCAGAACACTGTATACATAATAAATAAATAAATCTTTAAATAAATAAAGTATTAAAAAAAAAAAAGAAAGAAATATAGGAAAGCAGAGAAGAGGCATGAATGCCAGACACAGAGCAGAAAAAACTGGATGACAGTCTAATTTGAAAGGTGAATCTCTATAAACTTTCCAAAATGGACCTTTAAAAAAAAGTCTTTATATTTACTATACCCTTTGAGTCTATTGAAAAACAAAATTAAATACCAAAGCTGGACAGAATGGCACATGCCTCTAATTCTAGCATTCAGAAGGCCAGTGCTGGGAATTGCTGAGTTTGGAGCTACCCTAGGCTTCACAGTAAGTTTCAGGGCAACAGTCAGAGACTCTTATCTCAAAAAAAAAAAAAAAAAAATCAAGTAAAATAAAAATAAGGCAAGGCAAGAGGGCTCAGTGGGTAAAGGTCTTGCTGCCAAGCCTGATGACCTGAGTTTGATCCCCTGAACTCACATGATTGAAAGAAGGAAGTGATTCATGAAAATAGTCTTCCTAAACACACACAAACACATCTTTTTTGGAAAAATATTTTATTACGTTTATTTATTTGTCTGTGTACATATGAAAATGTGACTGACTAAACTCCTATTGTTGGGCTTGGTGGAAAGAGCCTTTACCCACTGAGGTATCCCACTGGCCCATAAATAGGAAAAACAAAACCCCAATCCACACCTGCCACACCTGCAGGCTATAAAACAGGGTCCCAAGTCCTCTGGCGTGCCTGCCACCAAGCCACCAGGATATGGGTTGCTCTGCTCTGTGACCTGGCTAGCTAACTGTTTCACCACTACAACAAGCAAAAGCAGAGCTGTCCCAGTGCCCCCACAGAGGCCTGAAGACACAGGAAGCTTCTCTATCTCTCTCAGGACCTGGCCAGCATACCAGGGAGCTGGAGCGATGGTAGAGGTCTCTGGGCCCTAGATGAACTCACAGCCAAGCATTGGCACCAACCCGCCAGACTGAGACTTCTGAAGAGGTAAGGACCATCACATGCCAGCAGGTGTCCTACAGAGGAGAGAGCCCTCTGCTCAGCTTAGGCTTTTGTGCTAAATGAATCAGTTCTGTTTTAAGCCACTAGGTTTGGGGGTGCTTTGTTACAAAGCTGTAACTGACACCTAGGCACTGCTCAACATACAATGGCAGAAAATGATGTGTGTACAACATGGCAGAGGGTAACCCCAGTGTGACAGCAGCTTGTCAACACCGAAGCCAAGGATAACACGGTGACGGCTTCATAGAGTAGAAAGGAAGTGAGTCCTGGGGAGAAGCCTCTGCCTAGTAAACCCCAAAACAAAGAACAAAGAACAATCCAAGGAAGCTAGAGAGATGGCTCATCCTTTAAGAGCCCTTGGTGCTCTTAAAGAGGGCCAGAGCTCAGTTCTCAGTGGCCACCCATGTAGCGGGGTTCACAAATGCCTATAACTCCATCTCTGAGGGAATCCGACACCTTCTTCTGGTCTCTGCAGGCAGGCAGGCATGAACACACACATACACACACAAATACACACACAGGGCACGCGCCTTTAATCCCAGCGCTTAGCAGGCAGAGACAAGTAGCTCTCTATGAGTTTGAGACCAGCCTGGTCTACATAGTGGGTTCCAGGACAGCAGAGCTACATAGTGAGACCCTATCTCAAAAAAAAAATAAATAAATAAAATAAAAAAGCAAAATAAATACTTAAAAAGAGAAAACAATCAAGAACTGCAAAGGCGTAAGGGGGAAGGAGGGTCGGACTCATGATCATGTGCTATACCCATTCATAGCTTCTGCAGGCACCAGGCATGCAGAGGGTATTCAGACCTGCATGCAGGCAAAATATTCAAACACAAACAAAACATATAGTAATAAACACTTCTAGAAGTAACTATTTTAAGTGGCTGAGAGCTGAGCAGGTACACTGCTGAAGAAGCTGCCCAAGGGGTTCATGAGTGCTGAAAGGGGCTCTGGTCCCCCTGTAACCAAGTAAAACACAACAAAGATATAACAATGGCTCTGCTAGACACTCAAAGGAATGGCTCGGATTTTTTGCACTAGCAACATAAAGTATCAGGATATACAGGAACAGGAAATCTCATTCACAGCTGGTAGGAAAATACACAGTCATTACCTAGCGGTGTCCACAGCCCCGGGTCCACTGGTGCTCCCGGGTACATGAAAAGCAGGAAGGCACACATACCATGTGCGCAGCAAAAACAAGAAAGAACCTACATTTCCATCAAGTAAGTAAATAAAGCCACACGCTGCCTGACAAGAGGGCTGTATTCTGAGAAATATATAGTTAAAGTGAATGCTGTTCATGGTGGCATGTCAACCCCAGCCCTCAGGAGGCAGAGGCGGGGCAGGAGGGTCTCTGTGAGTTCAAGGCCAGTCTGGTCTGCCTACAAAGTTCCAGGACATACATAATGAGACCCTGTCTCAGAAACAAAACAAAACAAAACAAAAACTTGGGTGAGGAATACAAAAGCAAGAACACACGGTCAGGTTCCCGGGTGCCATTCTTAGGAGAAAGGGGCTGTTAGCAGGTCTGTATTCTGCGGCTTCCTTTCAGTCTACATGTTCCTTAAGGACACAGACCATGTGTGTCATCTCACAGGGCCAACTGTCCCCAGGCCCAGGCTCCCGTGAATAGGTGGCTGATGGACAGCCAGACAGAAGAGCAAGCAGAAAGCATCGGTACAAACCCACCTTGCACATCAGTCAGTTCAGCCACACCAGACCCGCAGCAGGGAGGCTTGGCTCTGCGAGCGCTCCCTTTCCCCACTATGTCGTGCCCTGAAATCCTGCCCTAGCCTTCTGGACCCAAGAAGTTCCAGCATGCCTGTGCTAGCCCTTACCCAGCAGCTGTCCAAACCCTGACCCCTACAACGGCAGTCATGCCACTGAGGACCCAGTTGGAGACCACTGAAGTGGGTCTTCTCAGCTTCTTCCTCCTTCCTCCTTCCCACTGGATAGAGGAGCAGAGCCTCAGGAAACAACCCACGCTTTTCTCTTCCTAGCCCTTCCCTCACCTACCGGAAACCACTCTGTGGGTTTCTAGGGCTGACCAGGATGCAGTCCCAGGTGCGACTGGAAGCGTTCTGGAAAAGGATCAGCTGCCCTTCCTCTCGAATGCGTTCACTCAAGGCATGGTCAGCCATGGACACCTCCTTCACCCGGAATGGGTTTGAGAACAAGTTGGTGACACTGCTGAGGGTGCTGACGAGGCGTCCAAAGAACTGCATCCTCCGAGGGGCAGGTAGGGGCCCAGCCTGCCCCCTTGCTCTGGAAGACAACGAGGTCTCTGGTCAGTCAAATGCAGCCTCCCATACCCACCTCACAGGTGTTCTGTGCCGATTCTGGACTAGCAGGAACCTGAAAAGGAGAGAAACAGCCCTGAGTGGAATAGCAGATCTTATGGAAAGTTCCAGAACCTTCAGGCCAAGCCAGGAACCATCCCTGGACAGGACTGACACAGGACTAGTGTCGGCAGCAAGGGCAGTGGGCGTGAGCGTGCTGTCTGTTGCCAGGCCTGGCCAAGTGCACAGCTTCTTGCAGTGCAAGTCAGAGAGGACATTCTGGAGGCAGCAGAGCTCAGCTCGGGCATGCCAAGTCCACAAGCAAAGCCAAGGGCCCCTGGAAATGACACACCAGACTGCGCCACACCTCTTGGGGTGGAGGGGCGTGACAGGGAGAAACTGTCTCTCTGCATCCTGTCACCCATTTTACACAGAGCTCTGAAAGTGGCCACAGAAATGGGCCCTTAGAATGAAAGTGAGCTCGTGGGCTCAGACAGAGCAAGTGTGCATTTAGGATCTGTGTGCAAAGAGATGTGTGTGAACGTCTACCTGTGCCTGTGGGGCCAGGGTCGGCTGCAGGCTTCCACCTTGTTTTTGAGGCAGCGACCCTCAGTGACCTGAAACTCCCTGTAGGCTAGTCTGGCTAGCCAGCAACCAAGATCCCAAGTACGTGCCACAGTACCCAGCTTTTTTAACATGGGTGCTGGGATGGGCCTCAGGTCCTCACCCTAGAATAACTGGGCTACCTCCTTAACACTCATCCTCCAAAGGCGGTGGATTTAAAAACACAAAACTATGGAGTAAGTCAGAGTTTCTCCCAGTTTAGCCTGGGGCCTTAGATTTTGTGTTCGTGTGTACTGGGATGGAAGCCAGGGCTCCACTTCATTAGGCTACACCCCAGCCTCCGAGTGAAGAGATCTGTGTTTTCCAGGAAGCCGCTGCCTTTCCCAGAGGCCTGCCACTACATCGGGGTCAATGTGTCACCTGTTGAAAGAGTAGGTCAGACAGCATGAACAGAGCACGGCAGTATGGATACCTTGACAGAGGGGCACCTGTGTGGATACTAGTTTTCAGTCTTGTTCTGCACTGGCCCAAGGTAGGAAAAGAGGACTGACCTTGGAGAGGAATGGAGACAAGAGGCCTAGAGAGTGAGCCAAAAACACTCAGTTTTGGGGCCTCAGTTATGACACCACCTCAGGGTTTTACTTTCCAGTTCAGCAGCTGCAGTCTGAAGCACTCATGAAGACTTCCAGAAATAAGTAGCGCATTCATTGCAAACATTATGCTCTTCCAAGTGTATGGTGAAACCTCAAACCATCGTGCTGTGTCTCACCTGGTGTATGCTCATGCCTTTTCCCAGTGAGTCCACACTGCACACATCACCTGGCAGTCACCCAGCAGCCTCACTGTAGTAACAACTGTTTCTGGATGTCCTTGGGGATCCATCCCACAGCCTTGGGAACATAAACAAGCACTACACTGGGCTATATGGCCAGCCTCAGGCAGGACTTTTTGCTAAAACTGTAGATTTAAGAGGAGCTTGGCCCCACCCCCAGATACATACACACACACACACACACACACACACACACACACACACACACACACACTGGCCGGAACAAGTGTGCTATGGCACCTACATCCTTCCATCATGTGGGTCCCAAGACTCAAACTTAAAGTTGTCAGGCCTGGCAGTAAATCCCTTTAGCCCCTGAAATGTCTTACAGTCCCCTCAACATTTTTAACGAAAAGAGTCTTACAGGGCATGATGGCTCACACTTCCTGATCCCAGCCCTTGGGAAGCTGAAGGAGTTGGATCACCGTGGGTCTGAGGCCAGCCTGATCTCACAGTGAGCTCTACAACAAAGTAGGCTGCAGGCTGACGCCTTGCCTCAGACAACAAGAATCTCTCCCTTCACACCCCAGCAAGTTTGCTTTGTGTGTGTTATTGGGGCATGTGCATGTGGTACCATTCCCTAGGAGCCAGCTACCTTATTTTGGAGATAAGTCTCTCGCTGGCTCCTGGGGTTAACCAACTAGGATGGCTGCCATGCAAGTTCCAAGGACTTCTCCAGCTCCAGAACTGCAAGTTCACACCACTGGGATCGAACCCAGGTCCTCAGGCTTTGGTGGCTGGACTATGCCCAGCAATTCCAAGTGACTGTCAGACTGAGCATGCCTGGCGCCTCCCTGCCCCCATCCTGGAGTCTGCCCATGCTCATCACTTCTGCACAGCCACCCTCCAACACAGTTACCCTCACTTCACACAGGAAGAAGCCAAACAACAGACAGGCCAAGTGGCATGCCCAACGTTACACAGCTGACAAGAGAGGAATGAGTGCTACAGCCCATGGTGGGTGGCTCCAGAGTCGGAACTTCTTCAGGAAGCCGCCAAGCTCTCTCATCCCAGCACAAAGCACAGCTTGATTCAAGTTTCTTGTGATAAAATTTAACTGAGTAAATATTTTTGCACAATTTTCTTTCCCTCCCTCCCTCCCTCCCTCCCTCCCTCCCCCCCCCCCCCTCCCTCCCTCCCTCCCTCCCTCCCTCCCTCCCTCCCTTCCTTCCTTCCTTCCTTCCTTCCTTCCTTCCTTCCTTCCTTCCTTCTTTTCAGATGGGGAGATGGCTCACTGGGTAAAGGCAGTTACTGTGCAATTCTGGAAACCTGAGTTCAATTCTTAGAACCCATGTTAAGGTGGAAGGAGCAAACCAACTCCAGAGTCGCCCTCTGACCTCCACATGTGCACCATAGCACTCACTCTGCCCTTCCGTGTACACACACACACACACACACACACACACACACACACACACACACACAAATAAAAAAGTAAATTAAATCCAAAATTTAAAAAGAGACATAGATAAAAGAAACATACCAGGGTATCTGGAGTTGAAGGTCCTGGTTATTTGGGAAATACTGTTGCTTTTCTTGATTTTTCCAAATGACACACGAAATGATTACGGTTTTAGAGAAAGCAGGTGTGTAGGCTGGGCTCTGGGCTGTGCACTGGGCCTAGCTCAGAAGAGCTGTAGTTTTTGCCAGGGGCCAGGGCACGGGCCAGGAAGTGCTGCAGGGATGGAGCAGGGTTTCAAGAACATGCACGAGCCCCACTGTTCTAAACATACTTGCCAGTGGGACCAGCAGCCTCACTTAGAGGAAGGTCCCCAGCCCAGCACCCTCTGGTAGAGACACCTCCCATATGTTGAAAGGCCTGGCTTCTGTCCAGCCGCCTGGGGCCAGCATGATACAATGATGTAACTAAGGAAAAGGCCAGGATGCCAGCCCACTGGGACACAGCAACAGCAGCCATTGTTCTCTCTAGGTAGAAGAAAGGAAATGACCTCTGTGGACCTGTGGGGCCACATCCTGGAACAAGCCTGGCACGACCAGCCAGGAATGCTAGATAGCCAAGAGAAGATATGTGTGCCTACCTCTTGCCATCCTGTCCCTACCGCCTCAGAGCGCAGCTGGATCCTTCCAGCCTGGCTACAGGGCAGAACACAGGCTAGGAAGAGGCCAGCAGCCGCCTGTAGGGATCTTCCACTGAGGGTCTCCCTTCCCTGCCTTGGGCTTGCTTCCCTCAGCTTCTGTGTTCCTACAGCATCTGTTTTCTACTGCTGACAACTGTCCCTTCTGCTCCTCCCCAGAGCTGGCTCCTCAGCGGGGTCATTTGACAAAGACTGCCTGTTTCCAGGCATAAGTGCTACAAGTGAAAAGGGACAAACTGTTCACTCCAGCATAAGGGCAAAATCTGTGGCCTCTCCCCTTGTCTCTGTCACCTACTCCCTGACAGGGGACCCATGTATCAGCTTGGTTTGTTTCCGGAAGACAGACAGTATTTGGGGGTCTGAGGCTCTCTGGGAGGAATGGAAGACAGGAAGGCCAAAGACTTGTATACTCCCATCAGACAAGAAGATTACATCTAGGGAGGGCCTCAAATGGAGGCTTCAAAGACAAATAAATTCTTGCCACCAAAATGAAAAGCAAACTAAAGCCCTGAAGGGACCCTGGAAGGGGCTGCAGTGAGTCCCCAGTAGGGCTACTTGGGTCCATGAGGGCCAGGCCCAGGCTCTGCTCCGAGTGCGGTCCCTGGGAAGGACGCTGGAGGACAGGACTCTAAGGAAAGGCAGCAGGGAGATGGGGAGCAGCCCTCCCAGCACGCAGAGGGAACAGGTAGAGGACAGAGGCATGCATGGCCACCACGGACGAGCACTGTCACCTGGACTGCTGAGGGAGGTCTGCCTCCGACTCAGCCATGAAGGTCCTTGGGCAGGTCTCAGGGGAGACATTTCTAAATGGAGGTGTATGAGCCCAGGTCCTGGTCCAGACTTACCCACATGGCTCTCCTGTGCTCACCTTGCACCTAGACTACAAACTGCATGACCGTACCTCCCTGCAGAATGACCGTACCTCCCTGCTGACTCTGTGTTCTGTGGATCTCCAACACTGCAGGGAAAGCCCAAACTGTAGAGCCCAGGTGAGAATCCCCAGAAGAAGCCCAGCCCACATCCCAGCCCTCGGACCCCACTCTAGTCAGGCAGCCCCAGCTAGACATGTCACATTTGTGCCTCAGTGTACCTAGGCACTCCTGCACCTTCATTCCCTGACCTGCATAATTACCCCTAGATGCATTTAACCTCTCTCTCACGATAGATAAGGGGCATGCACATAAATAAACCTTTCCTTTCTTGCCCTTCAAGAGCCAGTTTGGAGGGCATCTCCTCCAGGAAGCCCTCTCTTCTTCCCTCAGCCTTTCTCCTCTGCACAGAGAACTATGACACTGCCTTTATTCCTTCTACAAGTGCATGGCACCCATTTCCAGCAGCTGCTGGGTAAACGTTATGTGAAGAGATCAATGGATAAATGGGAACGAATGAATGAACATCTGAGGCACCAGCTGGCATCCCTGAGGCACATGCACGGGGATCCTGCCCTCTGCACACCAGACTCCTCATTCCACAGAGCAAGGCGGGTGAATCCAGCCTCCTGCTTTCCTCCAAGAAGCGCCTGCCCACCACCTACCTGGAGACGCTTCCTCCAGCATTGCTAGGTCTTAGGCCTGTCAGTGGGTGCTGGACTGGTTCCTCTGAAAAGATCAGCCTTACTGCCCAGCGGAGCACCACAAGTTTAATTTTAGCTTGCCATGAAAGCTCTCTAGTGATAGGGCTGCCTCCACCTGACACTGAGAACCATGAAGGAGGAGAAACCGGCCAAAAACCTCAGAGCAGGTCTAGTTGAGGGCTGCAGGGACTTCCGGGAGCACACGACACACACAGAACAGCCCGCTGGTTCCCACAGAATGTCTCACAACCAGAACACTGGCGTGCCAGCCTCCTGAATGACTGCTACCTCTCCCAGTCCACACCTCCACCCCGGTGGCCGCAAGCAGGAGGTCCAGCCCAAGCACAAGGCCCTGTCACTTCTGACTTCCAGCAGCCTGCACATCTGCACACGCTGCCCAGGAGTACACGCACCCCCACAGGCCAGTTACTCAGGTACATGCACAGAGGAGTTTAAGTGCAGAGGAACACACACATGAGCAAACACAGTGTTCAGGCAACTCCTTTCACTGTATCTTGGTGAGAAGACTTTTGCTGGGTGAATAGGAAATTCTCTCTTACGCTACTCACACTTAACAAGAAAAGTAACCCATAGAAGAAAAGGGAAATGCACTAAGCATTGAGCCAACTGCAGGAGCCCTTATATAACACAACAGTCACATGTCTGGTGTCACACCGGGGCACAGAGCCCCTGACCTCCGACAGGGCACAGGAGGAAAGGTAGGTAGGCATCTACCGTATGAGCAATGTGACTCAGCAACACAGAACATGGAACTCTGTCTGCCGTTTCCCCCTGGGTACCATAGCTACCTGGGCGTGGGTTACTGCCACTGCCTGGCATGGACAGGATCGAGTCACATGACACTAGCTCAGGAAACAGCACAGAATTCCAAGTGCTATATCTACCACAAGCAGACCTCTTCATTAACACTGTGGACTCTAAAAATCAAGTCAAGCCATTAGAAGCTAGGGACCCTCAGAGCTGGAGAGATGGTTCAGAAGTTAAGAGCATGGGCTGCCCCTGAACAGGACCAGGTTTCCAGCACCCACATGGCAGCTCACACCTCCTGTAAGTTCAGTTCCATGTAATCCAGCACTCTCCAACACACACACACACACACACACACACACACACACACACACACACACAGAAGGAGTGTACTTACATGGAGGCAGGCAAAATATTCATACGCATAAAATAAAAATAAATACTTTTTTTTTTTTGAGACAGGGTTTCTCTGTGTAGCCTTTGCTGTCCTGGACTCACTTTGTAGACCAGGCTGGCCTCGAACTCACAGAGACCCACCTGCCTCTGCCTCCCTGAGTGCTGGGATTACGGGTATGCGTCACTCTGCCCTGCTAAATAAATCTTAAAAAAAAAAAAAATACAGTAACTGGGGACCCTCACTGAAAATCTAGCTCCAAGCTTATTAGCTTATTAGTGCTTATGGCCCTGGCAAGGGAGAAGGGGGGTGGGAGAAGGGGGGTCACTGGCCTTCCTTCCTTGTGCTAAGTGGAACCGGTGCCAGCTACGTCAATATTTGCCCAGTGGAAAATAAACGAATAGTAAAGGTAACACGAGTAAAGGGGCCTAGTTGTTAGGGGTGCATAATAAACACTGAAAACATAAACAAAAGGAAATGGACTTCCTCTCCTCTCTCTCCCCATCCCTTTCCCTTTCCATCTGCCTATGAGACAACAGCAAAGCCATGTGCTTGTACAGGGCCACACTGGTCACCAAGCTTTGTCTTCTACATCTTCTTATTCAAGTACTGAGCCTCACTGCGGACATAAGCAGGCAGGGAATACAGCCCTATCTGGCACAATGAGAAAACTGAGACCTGAACAGAACACGGCCTCCAAGCTCCAGAAACAGGAGGGCAGAGACAAAAACAAAACACTACCGTCACTGCCCACGGGTGGAGCTTCAACGACGCCAAACCAAACCCGCCCAGTCCTGTTGGCCTAGCAAGAGGGCAGGTGAGGGAACCTTAGAGGAAGGGTTGGTATTTGTTTGAGATCATGTGAGTTATCCCATTAAAAATACAGGCACAGGTAGGTCCTTGGGCTCTGGGTGCCCTCCCTGTCTCACACCCAATCCCTGGTCTAGTCACATAGTCACCTGGGTCACAGGCTTCCTGTCACCAGCCTCCAGGTCATCTGTGGATGCTGGAGGTGAACCAGGATTGGAGACTAGAGAACTGGGCAGAACACACGTGGAAGCAGAAGAAAACCGGAGGCACAAGAGAAGATAGAAACGGGAGGGCGAGAGGGGTGGGAACAAAGGGAAGGGACGCAGGAAACAGATGGCATTAGGGAAATGGGGCAATGAAACGGCAGAGGGAGGAGCTGGGGACAGTGAGCAGTCCAGGGTGAAAGCTGGGGCACTCAGTTGGGAGAAGGGTTGATTTAGTCAGAGAAACCAGGAGAGGCAACCACGAAGAATGAGGTCACCGGATGGGAGTTGGGGACGCCAGGGGATCAAAGGGCAGAAGCCGGGACCACTTAGGGGGTCAGACGAGAGTCAACGGAGGACGTGCCTCAGAGTCGGAGACGGGAGGCGGTCCCAACCAGGGTCCAGGAGGCGACATGCGAGACAGGGGGACCCGGAAGGTTTGGGGAGCGCCGTGAGGCCCCGCCCCCGCCGCGCCGTCGTCACTCACCTCGGCTTACTCAGCACCTCTCCGCCCTCTACTTCCGCAAACAAACGCGTCCCGACCACGTGACGTCGCGGCGGCTCTCCACCAATCGACCGAGCCCGTGGGGCAGGCAGGCTGTGGTCCCGCCCCCAAGCACGGGCCCCGCACGCGGTCAGGCGCCGCCATCTTCCATAACTGCCCAATGGAGGCCGCCTCTGTTGCCAGGGGGCGGTGGAGCTTCAGGCCCGGGCCAATCCTGTGTGGCTGGTGGTGGCCACGTCTGCACCGGGCGGAAAATGCTCGTGACGGCAGTTTGGCAGACATATTGGTAACGGGCAGGAGGATGTCCCGGGCTTGCCTTGGCCCTACGGAACCCGGGGTGGACTCCAAACTTTTTGTTCATGACAGCTCATTAAGATTAATAATAAGAAAGCCAACAAAGCCGCGGGGCCACATCGGGGAGAACTTGCTTTGATTTTGCCAGGTTCTTCCAAGCCAAATTGCAAATAAAAATATGGCACTTGCGGTTAAATTGAATTAAGACCAAACAAAAATTTTAATAATGTTTGCATGTGTGTGCGCGTGTGTGTCTTCTCCAATCCCCTAATTTTTTTTTTTTTTTTTTTTTTTTTTTTGAGACAGGGTTTCTCTCTGTAGACCAGGCTGGCCTTGAACTCAGAGGTCCATCTGCCTCTGCCTACCAAATACTGGGATTAAAGGCACCACACTTCCTTATTTTTCTGAGATAGAGTCCCTCACCGAACTTGGAGTTCACCCACCAGACTAGCCTAGCTGCCCAAGGGACCCCACGGGTCCTCTTGTTTCCTCTTTCCCAGCTTTTGGGGTTACAAACACACTTAGCTTTTTCCGGAGGTTCTGGGGCTCAAACTCAGGTCATCATGACAGCCCAACAAGCAGGTTTCCAACTGAGCTATCTAGCCAGCCCCTAAACAAACTGAAGGTTAAGTGGTAACACTTTATAGATATTAGGAAATTCTGGGTGTGGCAATTGTACACTTACAATCCCACCATTTGGATGCTGGAGACTGGAAGATCTGGAGTTCAAACTTAGCCTGAACTAGTTGAGTTGGATCCCAACCTGACACTGTCTATGAATGAATGAATGAGGGAGTGAATGAATGAATATCTGGAGATAGCTCAGCACTTTCAGTAGGAATTTGGTCAGATGATCTCTATGAAGCTGAGAAGTGGCCATAGTCACATTAAAGGGCCCAAGCAGCTGGGCTGCAACTGTGCTGTCATGGCAGGCTTCATAAGATGCTGTAGGCCTGAGTTTCTGTTTTCTGGTAATGTTCCCACAATTGCTTAGATCATATTTCTGTTTCTCAGAGCATGAAAATATAGTCTATGGAAACAAGATACAATAACTCAATAATCTCCCTGAAAACCACAAACAATAACCTAGCAACTGCCTTGAAAAGTCCCCAAGCACTTGACCAATCAAATTAAAGGTTAGTTAGAAACCTTTACTTAGCTACTCAAAATGATATTGTTACCTGGGCACTTTTTGTTAGCCCTCTTTGTTACCTGGGCACAAACTTCATGGGAACTCCATGAAGCTTCTCCCCGCCCCCATCCCATAGATCAGCACCAACCAATCGGTTTATGACAAGCTTGCTTCTGCTAAATGTGAACCAATCAAGTAACTGGAAGTCCCGTTCATTGCTCAAACCATAATAAAAACCCAGCTTTGCAGCTACTCATGGCCTCCTTCCTATCCCACTGCTTTGGATGGTGGGAAGTCCGAGCTTAAGCCCATAATAAAAGCCTTTTGTTCTTGCATGTGTGGTCAACCTCCTGGTGGTCTTTGCCATCTGGGTATAACAACGTTTGGGGGTAGGTGATGGCCACGGGGACGGCTCAACCCTTGTGGCTATCTCTGGCGGGATTTCAATAAATGGCAGTTAAGATTAAGAATGCTGATACCGAGGACTGCTAGAGGGCAGCCAGGACACTGGGTCTGGTGACTCATTTGCCTCAGACCAAGCCAGTCTCTCTTCCCCTTCTCCAGCCCACCATTTTCGGTTGAACCTTTATTTTCTCTAATGAGACAGAGGCCTGGCTGGATCTCCCAGGCTGCTCTCTGTCCAGATGGCAAGTGCTGTTGCTCTTGCGCCCTCTTATTCCCTCCACAAACACAAATTCCCGGTTGCCAGGCAGCCAGTATAACCACCCTTGCAGGTTTAGTTAAGAACCTACCCAGGTTGCCAGGGACATTGGCACAAACCAGTAATCCTGCCACTTGAGAGGGAAAGGAACAGTTTCACAAATTCAAGGATAGCCTTGGGCTACACAGCAAGACTTTATCTCAAAAAAAAAAAAGAAAAAAAAAAGAAAGTATAAGAATAAATAAGAGACTCTGCACAGGTTAATAAAAGCAAGCACAGTTAAAGCTTTACCAACTTGAGAGTGACTTCACCACCGTCAGCCCGTGGGAAGTGGAGTTAATGGGTAATTAACCTCCCACTTTGCAGAGGAGAGACTGTGAAGCTAAGATTAAAATTTGCTGGAGTTTTAAATTTGAGCTGAGAAAAGGAGATGAAGCTTTCTCTCAATGAAAATACTTTGCCCTTCATAACCCCCCCCCCCAATAAATTTAGTTAGGGTGATGGCTATGAGGAAGCTCACAAAAGACAGGATATCCCCCCACACACACACACCAGTACCAGAAAAATTAGTAGGGCGAGTTCCCTTCGTAAGCAAACACCCACCCTGTGTTCAGAATGGCAGCTTTGACAACACTCCTGCACAAATGAACCTGAAACACGGCAACAGGCAATGAGCCTGGGCCAGTGGGACTGGAAACACTCCAGCGTGCCTGGAGACACAGTCAAACAGCAGAACCTCAACGGCCGATAAAGCAAATCATCTTTTCTGTGGGTACTTCTGGCTAATGAATGACTGCATCCTGAGAGGCAGCCTGGGCTCCTTCGGAAGCAGCAAATGAGCACGCCACAAAAACGAAGGGCGGGGCAGCTCAGGGCCGCTCAAGCCATCTAACTTCTGCAGCGTTTTGAATGGGAGATGTTAGCACCACAAGTCAAAAGGCATCTCCTGGATCTGGAGAGATGGTCCAGAGGGTGAGGGTGCTTGCTGCTCTTGCATGTGCCAGGGTTCTGTTCCCAGCACCCACATCAGGTGGCTCATGGCAGGGGCTCCAGCACCCTCTTCTGGCCTCTGCAAGCAACCTCACACGTGTGTACACACACCTTCCGCCCGCAGACACACACATAGAAAATAAAATAAAATCTTTAAAAATAATTCCCCTGAGGGCTGTACTCCACCCTATAGGCACCACAGAGCTTCCCAGGAGTCTAGAAGTCATGGTGGACAGAGTTCCCTCCCTCAGAGGAGCAGATATATATTAACCATTCTTTAACAGGGCAAGCTTATGCTCACTAGTTCCTTGGTTACGACAACACTGAGGAGTCATGCTATCGTCCCCACTTTGCAGACAGAGAGACTGAGGAGATGTCTCCCAGAGTTGCATGCCCATGAGGGACAAACGCAGGACCTGCCTTGTCTTTTCACCCACCTCGTGCAACGTTCTTAGTGCTGATACAACTGCAACTAATGAAACCAACGCTCCAGTCCTGGTGGTGTCGCCATCCTAGCCAGCCATGGTACGTATTCTAGCCTGCTTCCCTGTGGCTGTGATAAAACACTGACCAAAAACAACCTGGGGAGGAAAGGGTTTATTTGGCTCACAGCTCTCAGGTCACACTCCATCACAGAGACAAGCTGGGGTAGGAACTGAGGTAGAGGCTGTGGAGGAACACTATTCACTTGCTCAGTATGTTTTGCCCTTGCTCAGTATGCTTTCTTACACAGCCGAGGCCCAGGCCCAGGGGTGGCACTACTCATATTGGGCGGGGCCTTCCCACATCATAAATAAATAAATAAATAAATAAATAAATAAATAAATAGATAAATAAGTAAGTAAGTAAGTAAGTAAATAAATAAATAAATAAATAAAAATGCCGGTTGAGGTTCTCCCCTCCTGAATGTCTCTAACTTTTGTCAAGCTGACAAAACACTCCTCTTCAGAGCAGGCAATGAGCAAGATGTTGTAGTGAAAGGCAGTGTGCTTAAAGTCTTTCTTTGTTCAAGCCATCCTGAGGTCAGCAGCTTCCTGTCAACACTGCGGTTGCTGTGGGGCAGGCCCTGGAGACAGTGCCATGGAGGCCACCTGCAGCAACCTCAGAAATGCTTTTTTTAGAGACCTGCACTCAAGTGAAGCCAGGATTCTTGACTTTGCCACAAGAAAAGAAAAAGAAAAATGATGAGCTATTATGAAGCAGAATTGGGGTATATTAGGAAGAAACTTTAGGACAGTATGCATAAGTGTCAGGGAGAGAGGGCACACTTAGCAACAGGATAGCAAAGCTGGGCAGTGGTGGCGCACACCTTTAATCCCAGCGCTTGGGAGGCAGAGGCAGATGGATCTCTGAGTTTGAGGCCAGGCTGGTCTACAGAGTGAGTTCCAGGTCATTCAGGATTACATAGTGAGGCCCTGTTTCTAAGGAAACAGAGAAAGAAGAAAGAAAAGAGAAAGGTAAGTTCTCAAGGGAGAAGCACACCCCAGTGTCCTAGCATATGTAACGTGTTTCCTGTGTGTGGGCATGTGTGTCTGCGCAGTGCACAGATGTAGACTTGTCCGCAGACAGATGTAGGCTGTCCGCAGACAACCTTCGCTGTCAATCCCCAATTTCCACCTTTTAAAACATAGTCTCAGGGCTGGGAAGATAGCTTGTTTCAGCAGCTAAGGGCACGTACTATGCTTCCACAGGACCAAATTTGATTCCCAGCATCCATGCCAGACTCCTCACGACCACCTGTACCTCCAGCTCCAGGGGGAATACTATTCCTTTATCCTCCGCAGGCATCTGTGCTCATGTTCTCATACCTACACAGAGATAGACACATACACCTACTATAAAGATATCTTTGGAAGCTGAATGTGGTGGCTCACGCCTG